ACTTTTTTCTGTAGTTTCCTTTTGTGTATTTTTTAAAATGTGCAGTGGTTGTAATTTGTTGTTACCGGTGGCGAAGCTACAGTCGTCGCTCTGCGCCCTTCTTCATTTCTCAGAGTAAATTGCTGCCTTGTGGAGTCAATAGGAAACCTTTAAGTCTGTTTACATTCCATAGATTCCTTCTGTATACACGCACATATTCTTGACATCATTAGATTAGAGTGGAAATGAGCCCATTGTGGAGACACTGTGCAGTTTGCATGCCTCTCCCAGTGCAAGGAAGGAGTTGAAGTTGGGTTGAAGGATTTTTGTGAGAGTGATCGTGTGTGTGTGTGTGTGTGTGTGTGTGTGTGTTGTGTGTGTCTGCCTGCCTGCCTTTCTCCAGTGTCTGTGGTTTGGAGGCCTGCGTGTCACTCCAACAGACTCCCTCTCTGGCTCATTCATACACTCTCCCTCGGCTGCAGATGATTCCTGCTTCAGACTCGCTAATAATCCCCCACCCACTCTGCCTGACTATTGCTAATAGTGTATCTACACCAGCCTTGATTTACACTGTCACACTCTCATTTGTGTGTTTTGTCATTGTTTGTATGTGTTTTGTGGGTGCCTGACACACCTACACAACATAAGGCCGTATCAGGTGACACGTTCTCCAGAGCATGCATCAGCTACAGTATAGTGTAACAGATGATTCATCACAGTGTATCAAGGGATTGGCAAGTCACGTTCTTTATGTCATAACAAAATCCCTCTCACCAGCTTTTCACCTCTTAAGTTAATAATTATGCGACAGTTTATTTAAACACTTTACAGCTCTATTGTGTAAATGTAGTTTAAATTTATTCAGACATGTTACTACTTGCAATACATATGACATCAATGATGAATGAAAAGCTTTCATTGTATTCAATGTGCAACCACAAAGACACACTCAATAGTGGATGTTTAAAGGTCTCATATAGTATTAAGGTAAATGTCCATGTGTTGTTTTTGAATTATTAAGCAGGTCTAGGTTCTATATTAATACTGTGAAAGTATCAAAGCCTCAGTCCACAGAGAAATGCACACAGCCTGTATTCAGAAACTGAGCTTAAAATGAACCTTCAGGACTTCTGTAACTTTGTTGATGTCACAACAAAGCAGTCTGTGCTCTCATTCATGTCTCTTATGGATTAAAATAAAACACAGGAGAAGAGGAAAATAAGGAACTTTAATTATGTCCTAAAGGTGCGTTTCCATTAACCTGCTTAATGTGCAATTTGAAATTGCAAACTTAAAAACACAATGGAAACACGTGAATTTAGAAAAAACTCTCAAATGTCACAAAAAATGTATACACTCGCAGGGAGGTGTTTTTCAGACTATTCTACAAAGCAATATTTCACAAAATTAAAATGGAAACACTTTTTTTCCATTCGAGTCGTGGCGTCTGCTGTATCAGGGCCCCAGACAGCCAGTTTCCAACTAGAGAGGCAGACTGCTAGAAATCCATCGTCACGTTTAACTCAAATGATATCGCAAGAGGAGAAAACCCAGCTTTACTTGCATAAACATCACTCATTGGAAAACACAGTACATCACTATTTATGTTTTGTTGAATTAAAAAAAAAAGATTGTCCTAAAAAAAAAAATGGCCTCTATTTTCTGCAAACCTGCAATGGAAACCTGTTTATAGCCATGTTGAACCCATATATACCGTTTAACCACATGGCACTGAACACTTTTGGCCTTTGATGGCCAAAAATACAATTACCTGAAACCTCCTCATGTAGCATAACAAACATTTCACCTCTGATTCACTGTAAAGCAGGTCAGGACTCCCGGTTATCATCTTGCAACTAAAAGAAAATTAAGAAAGAAAAAAAGAAATGAACCGCCTGACTTTGACGACTTGATCCCAGAGCACCGCTCTCACAAAGTTGTCCACATATCCCTTGTTCGCTAGGGAGAGGGGATGACTTTAGCGTTTCTCTGTGTGTTTTGGGAGCTGGCCTACTTTCTGTTTGTGTATCGTCTCTGTGTGTCTGTGCTTCTTGTTTTAGTTCCCTTGGTAAAGGCCCACAGGCTCTGTTTTTTTCTCCAAGGCAGAATTTAGTACAAAACAGTCAGGTTTGGTCTAAATGCTGGTGAAAACGTCCCTTTATTTAGCTCACTAAATAAATGACTGTACTGTTCTATGCTACATTTATATCATTTGTGTTGGAGAATAAAGTGTGTTCTCTGTGCAGATGAATTCTAACAATAAGCAACCTTCAGGGCTTCAGATGAGACCAGGCTGAAAGGGGCTTGTGTTGGTTACATAAGTCGGCATTTGTCATGTCATTGTGCTGCTGTGATGAGTCTGGCCCTGGCCAACAGTGAAAATGGCCTCATTAACCACCAAACAAGCATTTGAACACATCACCACTGTTTAACAGGCAGATAGGGACTCGCTTAAAAGACTAATGTAACAATATACATATTTTGAAACACTGATGTAACTAATAGACGTGTCTCATAATTAATCTGCCAACTCATTTGTTGCCCACATGCTTCTCATTACACCTTTAACCTTTACCTTTTTGCTTTAATGACCACGTCAGCACTACAAACACCAAACAACCATCAGCTGATTTACACTAATTGCAGATAAAATGGTGAAGGTGTTTCTAATGACCAGTAAATGATAAGAACTTAAAGTAATGGAAAGCTAAATATAAGTGCTTAGGTCGTCACTACTGTAGCAGTACGTCCATCAGCAACAATACACTAATCCTCCACTGCTCCGCTGACCGAGTAGTTGAGTGGACTGGACTATAGGCCACTGACAAACTTGATTTTACAACAGTGAAACAGTCAGTAAGACAGTGTTAGAGACAAGTTGACGACTGAAGTGACAACTGCTGTGCTGTGTCACTAACATGCTGCAGACTGAATGAATCAAATCTGCTTACTTTAACTTGTAAGATCCTCATACAGGCACCCTATGGATAAGATGATGATTCTTGTGAACGACTGGAGGGAATTTCATTATCTGGCACAAACATTCACTTGGAGTCAAGAATGAACTGATTAGAAATTTTTTGGTCACAGGTCACTGTAACCTCACAAAGCACATTTTTGTTCATACACAAAATTCTGACAAACTTACACAAATGTCTAATAGGATAAAAGATGAAGTGATGTAATTCAAAGGTCAAGCTCACTGTGACATCATCTGACATCTGCAAATACACTTAATAACTCTTACTAAATGTCAAAGGCTTCACCACATACTGTATATTACATGACTCTGGACTGGACATGGATGAAACTGTAACTTGTCCGGTTGGTGGAGGAGCAACAACGACGAGCTGTAATTCTAGTTCGTCTTGTTTCTGCAGCAGTGTTAGCTCACTTTACTGTATCATAAAAACGGTTGTGTCTTCGAATGGTGACAGACATTGTGGTTGGAAAAAGTTTGCCCATAGCTTGCATCGCACAGATAGAAGTAAAACAGATTGGTGAACAGGTAAACTAGATAAATCAAGATATTAAGTTAGTCTTGTTGACAGGCTTTAAATATCAATTTGACCCAGTGTCTATTATATAATTTGTTTTTGTCTATAAAGGACAACCCTTACTTACCAGCAATTATAGTCAACAGCAACAACAGCAGTTATGATATATTGGACTCAGGTGGAGGTGGTAAAGATACTGGTGGAGCAGATAAAAACTTTATGGAAGTTTTGAAGGTCCACTGGCCAACCGGAATTTTAGCCAGCGGACCCCATGGTCAGTCCGTCTGTTCTCTGGTCTCATCTCCTTCTTTGTCTGAGGCTTTTTTTTAGAGGAAAACATTGTTTTCTTCAATGGAGGGTTTCTTGCAGCTTGCTTTCACCTGGATGCTGTGCACTGCACTGTGACATCCCGCCTGTGTGCGGTGCCTCTGTGATCATAAATGTGGGGAAGAGGTTTGACAAGGAGGGACTCACATGCACTAACATGAACGCATACATGCACTTACATGCATGTGCTATCAGACCGGCAACCAAAACAAAGACCAGAGAAACTAAATTACAACACACACAGAGGGGGTGTGGCTTCGTTCTCTGCTCAAGACGCCATTACTCCACTATATCTTTACAAAAAAATAGTTGTTTGCTGCTGTGTTATTGTCTAAAATTCCATTTACAGAACCTTTACTCAGTTTTGTTGCATTTATGATGTTTTTCAACTTTAGTGGTTACTGTTTTAGACACTGAAACTAACTTTATTATGTTATGTGTATCTGTTAAAAAATATTTATCGTTATTGAATGTTTTAAACTCCTCAAATATTGAAATAAGCTTTGGCCTTAAATGTATCTGTCAGGCTCTGCACCTTTTTCAATGAAACTGAGGCAGCCGCGAATTGAGTACGTTCATAGTTGTAACCAAAGGAGTAGTTAATGTGTAGAAATGAACAGTTTATCTTATGCATTTGAGAATTCACATGGAATATGAATGTTTAGACATAAAGAGAGAGAGAGAAGTTGCTGTCCTGAAAGTTTTTTTTTTCCTTTGCTAAAGTAACTAATTACATTGTATTATCACTGTACCAGCTCTTGATTTTCTATGTTGGTCCAAAGACACACCGTCACATTAGAGGCTTGGTGCCAAGTGGACACGTTTGTGTACTGTATTCAAATTTGTTGTCTCATTACATGTAGCATCCTGTTCAGAGCCACATTTCTTATCTGAAAAACGTAACTGATGCTTGACGTCAGGTCACAGAGCTAACAGAGGACATGCACCATTCTGTGACTATAGTCTCCCAAACCAGCAGAATTATATTTAGCATGGTGCAGCAGGACATACATTTTCTGTTAACATGATTATTTGAATAAAAACATACAAATGATAAAGCACAGCAAAAAAGAATGACATTGTTGCTGATATGGTTTAAATTAGAAGATATTAGATTAGAATTAGAAATAAACGGACAATAAACAATGTTAATGAAAAAGGAATGAACTCTGTATGTGTCCCTCTGTGTGTCTGCAGTGGAGGGTGAAGGTCAAGGTCGCATTCTCCAGCGGTTTCCTGAGAAAGACTGGGAGGACAGCCCATTCCCACAAGGCGTAGAGCTGGTAAGTCAACACACACAGGCATGTTCCTTTGTAGCTCAGTCGCTAGAACAAGACACTTAACCCTGTCAGGGCTGCGAGTGTAATTCCCGGGCCGGGTCAGTGGTTAGGCACAGCTGCCAGTGTTACAAGATGTCTAGTAAGAGCTGATACGCTCAACACAACTCTGTCCTAGATGAGAGGTGTTTTCGTGGCAGGTGTTCTTGCAGTGTCACTCGGTCAGCCGATCCATTCATCTACATGTCTGTCTAACATCTGGGTCCACATCAAAATGATTAGAGCTAACAACTGCAAGCACCAAACCACATGGTATCTGCTGTGGGAATACATGGTCCTCTAAGGATGAACACTGGTTTTGACGAGGTACAGTATTGACCATCTTTAAGGGCTTTAGACGTAAGCCTTGGTAATACAAACACTCTGACTGGAATAAACCAAAAATAAATATGATTTCTAATTCATGGAGGTTGGATCTTAAGGTGATTTGGGGAAGAAGAAGGTTTGTTTAATTTGAATGGTTGCCTGTGGTATGTGGTTGTCACAGAAGTGCTCAAAGAAGAGACAGTATGTTAAGAAACTGAGGAGCTGTGGCATCACATATCAAATCTGTTGCTACAGAATCTGAACCTGTACTGACTCTGCTAAGTAGATGACGTACGGGCCAAACGACACCACTTCCTGCATGTGCTTCACAAGGCATGGGTGTAAGACTTGAGCAGATAAAGATCACATGTGGTGAGAAACTGTGATATTATCGAATATCACAAGTATGATAATAACATTTTTCAGTTTTGGACTGTTGATTATTAGTTTGAAGGCATCATTTTGGGTTCTTGGCAGTTGTGATTCTTCTCTGCTTTTCTTTACCTGACATAGATTAAAATATTAATTAAGAAAATAATCGATAGATTAATCGATAATGAAAATAATTGTTAGTTGCAGCCCTAGTTAGTTTACACATATAACACATATATAAAGTAAGAACAGATCAGTTAGTGTATCTGAGTCATTATCATGTCATCCAGTCAGATTGGTGCATCCCTAATATTAATGCAGGTCAGGTGTGAGACCTGTTGAGTCAGTGAATCTGACTTGAAACTAAAAATTGCTTCATAAAAAGTTTCAGTACAGATTGACTTAAGATTAAAGGAGCGTGTGTGACATGTTTACACATACCAGTTATAGGCCAACTTCAGATCAAGACATCGAGTCAGTGAAGATACCCAGTGAATAATGACCATAACATAATAAATTCCATATCTTAACAAAAACACTGCTAATATTGACTCTGTATTGTTTGCTGAACTCAGTCAACGCCGTCACAGTATTGACTGCTCCATTAACATTTCTTGTTTTGCAAGTAAATATTTGAAAATTACATATTGTACATATTTTCAACCCAAAACAATCTGATTAGAAATGAGAAATATATACTTCCATGTTTGTTCACATCAACAGCCGGTGCTTCCCCGGCTTTGTCATATTACTAAAGCGGATGGAAAGTTTTCGGAACCTGTTCAGTTGTGTTCATGATAGCCCAGCCCTGCATGAATCACCCTGAGGTGTTGAAAGACCCACTGCTGTCACTGCTGTCTGATATGTCACCCAGGTTGCCTAATCTTTCTCTGTCTGTGTTTTTTTTTTTTTTTTTTTCCCCCCCTGTCCCCCATGCTTTCATCCCCCCCCCCCCCCCTCTAGTTCTGTCAGCCCAGCGGTTGGCAGCTGGTTCCTGAGCGGCAGCCTACCTCCTTCTTTGTAGCGGTTTTGACTGACATCAACTCGGATCGTCACTACTCTGCCTGCTTCACCTTCTGGGAGGGACTGGACAACCCGCAGGTGAGACAGACGTCAGCTGCGTGATGTCGTGACCAGTTGGAGTTGCTAGCGTGGCAACAATGACATGATCCCTCACTGGTATATTGGCATAGTAGTCATGTGACACCTTGGGGCCCATAAATACTTTTTGCCATACACGCCAATTACAAAAGAGATGGAAACTTCACACATTTTCAAAAAAATGGTGCCAATGAAGATGCTGTTTTGTGTGATTCCTGTGTGCGATTAGTCTGACTAATGTGCACACATGATGAACACCCACTTACTATATACCACCTGTGAACAATGCCAGTTGTTTTTCTTAGAGCAGGACATAGAGGCACTCACACTGGGGACTGAACCTGTGTCTCTGTTGTAAGCCAGGTTTATAATTTGATGTGTTTACCTCAGCCTGGTGTGACTGCAGCTGTGTGTGTCTCTGCTCTGTGTTTAGCTGCAGAAGGCTGAGGCCAGCGAGGTGGATGAAGTGGATGAGGAGCTGGCCCTCGTCCAACCAGCGAAGGTCTTTGCCCCTAAGAGCCTGGTGCTGGTGTCCCGCCTGGACTACACAGAGGTGTTCAGGGTACGACACACTTAACAGTTTTTATACTATAGTCACTCCACTCCTTCTGGTTCTATTGTGTTATTATCTTATCAGCCATTTTTCTGAATGAACACAGAAGGTGGCTGAAACACAACATTGGACCAAAACATGTTACTGTTGAGCTGTTTAGCTCTTTACTTTTTGTGTTATGGCCAAATGAAGAGCAATCAGAGTTATGGATTTCATTATTTTGATAACATTTCAGTAATATTGCCCTGAAGTAAATATGGTGTTATTACAGTGGAGAGACTTTCTCTGGATGTGTGGTACATCTTTGGTTGACAAATGCATTCCTCCCTCTTGATTGAACAGAACTGTCTGGGTCTGATCTACACCATCCATGTAGACAGCCTGTCTGTCCCCTTGGAAACGGTGATCGGAAATCTCCTCACTTGTGTCATCCCGATCGCTGGAGGCTCTCAGGTAAAACTACTGACCGCTCATCTCTTTCTCACACAAACACCTGTACAAACTGCACTACTCTATAAAGGCAAAAGACAAAGACCTGACCTTGGCTGTCATGTAGACCAAAGCTGTGACACCATTCCTCTGTCATTTTCTATGCTGTTCAACTTTGCAACTGGGTGGTATACACACTCCGTATGTGACCCTATGCCTTGTTCAGCAGTGCAGCTTTGTCAGACAGTTTGCACTGTAGAGAAGTAGAGCTTGGCGCAACCAGCTAGCATAGCACCTAGCGCTAAACTCGCTTTTTTTGTTAGCTTGGTACTAAAGAAAAATCTTAGCGTCGGAGAGGTTTTTTCTTCATGTGTAAGAGACTTTGATTATGCACATGCAAAAGTCCATGCACATGTCTTTGTACGTGCATAATTAAATAATTGATGGATTACTGTTTACTGAGTAATGAGGTTTAAAATGTCACTAATCTTCTTCACACAGCTGGTTCTACTGGACATCTCTGTCCCTGAGGGGCAGTGTCATGTAGTGCTCAGTCATCCATCCTGTAAACACAAGTGCAGATATTTTAGCATTATTTCATTTTCATTGGGTTTTACTGAGAGACACTCAGTACAAAGCTTTGTTAAACACAAACCCTCCTTTGTGGATGATCCGTGCCACTTAAACAGATAGAGACCAAATCATCACATTTTGCATGCACTGTTGGCCGTGGAGCGGGGAAGTATGGGCCCTTCTATTTATAATCAGAAAAACACATCATATCTGAGACACATACTTTGGTACTGTTACTTGCACCCAGGCTTTTTTTTTGTTGTTGACACAACTGTAGACTCTTTAGATAACTCATCGCGCTAAATGTCTCCACTGTTGTGAGTCAGCAGACTTCCTCAGATTAAAAGATGTATTTTTGGTATTTTGTTGCACAAGCATATACACATAAACATGCAGCAGCAGGTCCGGCATTGCGTGTTACTTGGGAGCACATTTGAGCTAAAATCAACTTTATTCTCATGACATTTTCTGTTTATTTCTCATCTTTCTCTCTCTCTCTTTTTTTTCCTCTCCATCATTTACCCACTTCTAAAATATATTTTGTAAGAATCATGTTTTGTTATTTTGCCTTCAGAAAATATTGACTTCCTTCTCTTTTTTGCAAGTAAATGAATCATCCCTGTTACACTGACTCGTGCTCACGGTGCACAAACAGTAGGAAGTGTCTATTCTGTCTGAATCTACATCAGTTGAAAACTTCCACTTTGGTTTCCAGATGTTGTAACCCATGTGTGTCACTTCTGTGCACCCTACTGTACACTGGTTCCTCTGTGTTACAGACAGATGAGTCCCCAGTTTGTAGTTTAGACAAGGTTCCTCAGGCCCTGGCCTGTGACTGGCTGCTGGCCTGTCTCCAGGTAACTTTACCGTTCTGCAAGCTTCACCAATCAACAACCAGCTTGATGTTACTGATTCTGTTAATCAAGCAGAAGAGTTGTTTTCTTTTCTTTGAGGAATGCGTTCCTTCTTGCAGTCATTTCAAATCATGCGTGATTGATGGTGCTTCAGCTGTTTTTGACCTGCATTTCTGTGTGTTTTGTGATCAAACATTTTTCACAGAATCATGTTAATCATTTGAAACATTTCATTTCTTTTTTTTCTTCTCATGCATTTTTCATGAACTTGATTTGTTGCATCTATTAATGAGCATTTTACAACACTGATTGTTTTCAAGTTGTTTCCTCACTCACACACATGTACATGAACATCTCTTTGACTTGAGGGGACATTACATTGACTTACATTCATTTCCTGAAGACTTACTCCAACCTTAACCATAACTACTACGTGCCTCACCCTAACCTTAACCTCAACCTTAACCTTAAAACATGTCATCACCTTAAGATGTAAAGCTCCATATTTTCCTCTTCTTCTGTGTTTTATTTGAAGTGTTGATCCATAAGAAGATATATTTGTGGTTTTAAGAACCAAAAACCATTTCAGTGTAGTTATACATCTTCTCTCTCAGGCTTCTCTCTGGAGCTCTAGCAGGTCTAACAGCAGGTCGATGAGCCAATCAGAAGAGATGATGCTCTGAGCCTCTCTTCAGATTGGCTAGAGAAACTAAACCCTGCAAGGTTGGATGGTGGGTCCAGGTGGGCAGGGCTTGAGGCATGGCTGAGAGCAGTGACTGCTTTGTTGTGACATCACAAAGTCACAGAAGTCCTGACGGCTGGTTTTAAGGTTCAGTTTCTGAATTCAGGCTGTGTGCATTTCTCTGTGGACTGAGCACTTTGATACTTTCACAGTGTTAATATAGAACCTAGACCTGATCTATAATCAAACAACACATGGACATCTACCTTTATACTATATGGACCTTTAACCTAAACTTCACCTTAAGATTTAACGATTTATGTTATGGGGACTTGCTTTTTGTCTGCATAAGGAAAACAAGTCCCCATAGTGTGACTGCGTAAACAGATTTAGGTCCCCACAACATGAGTAATACCTGGACCACACACACACACACACACACACACACCCTCCCTCCCGAAGCTGTGCAGGTCGTAGTTCAGTTGCTGGGTGGCCATATGGTACAGCAGATGGCTTCCTACTGGACAACGCAGCGTCTGAATGAGAGACTCAGTTCTAATCAGTATTAACACGCATATAGACCCAAACAGCAGAGGCTAATGCACAGCTCTCCTCACACACTAACACACATCTGAAAACACAAACACTCATCAGCGCACAGGCCAAAACGCCATGCTTATTCCTTAATCATTCTTCATCATACTGACAGATTCTGACTTAAATATTATCAGTGGTTTCCCCGTAGAGCTGTTATGTTACCTGTAACTGCACACAGCTCCTTAAGGGCACTGAAGTACAAACAGTTCTGTTCCTCTGGCTCGAGAGGAGGACAGGCCACTTTACAAAGAGTAACACAGACTTACACACATTCCAGTCAATGTTTAATGACATGGGACTTTTCTCTCTGCTACACTAAATGTCTGTCATTACCTCAGAATCCGTCTGTTCACGTCAGCCTCTGCCCAAAAAACACACAACTCACACACACGACTCCGGCAACGTGACACTGAAATGATCTCGACCATTAGACATATTGTCTTGGCAACACTGTCGCACACCAAACTGCTTTTGGCACCAGTAACCGTCAGGCGTTCCAAAGGCCCACATAGTCTCTATGTAAATATGAACTAGAAAAGAATAGTTAGAGTTACATAGCTGTGCCAGTTGGAATACTTGCAACATTTCATAATAGATTTAACTATGGCTTCATCATTGTTAGTTACACATAACCTAGTCTTACATCCAAGGCCAAGTCACATTTCATTCTGTATTTTTGTTGTTAGGAAAGTCCCGTTCATGACGAGCACATTGACCGTGCAGTAATGTCTCGCTGTGTGAGCTGATCCAGGATGTTCCTACATCGTAATGCTAAATGTAGGCTAATGTTAGCAGCCCTGTTGGGGAAGTTGTTATTCAAGGCAGCGCTACGATCATCACGCATTGCTTAGGCCGGGAACACACTGGGTGCTTGGCGTTTGTGTTGCAGTTGCAGAACGTCTTGGTTTTCATTTTGGCGCCCGTGTTAACAGGTTAGAGCGGACACACTGCCTCGCGGCTGAGTCGATTTTTCACACGTAACACGCTCGTCTCCCAGCAGAAATGGACAGACAAAAGACCTGATGATGTCATATTGCATACCAGCATCATTTCATAAAACGGAGAGCTTCCACTATAGTTTCTATGTCGAGGCTGAATTTGAATATGACACAGACATGAAAAAATACTAATATATTTTTAAACCATTTTAGCAGCTGCATGTGGAGACAGAGACATTTTAGTGACATTTTGTGTCAAAAAAAAATCAGAAATGAATTTATAATGAAAAGAAATCCAACATTCCAGCTACCTGCAAACTCTATGTAGAGAGACAGAGCTGCAGCAGCAACGCAGCAGAGACGCATCCGGTGTGATCAACACACACACACATGTGCTTCTCTGCAACAGCTCAGTGACATCAGCCGCCACACTCATGCAGCGCAGGCAGTGTGTTCCCGGCGTTAGTCCTCATCACAAAAGCAGCCCTCTATTTTAACATTAAAAGTTATCATTGTAAATGTAAATGTGCTGTGAGAGATCGAAAAGCTCATTGAACAGTCAGTTGACGTATGAACATTTGAGCTAAATGCACCTGCAGTGATAGCAGAGCAGATTATTGTATTGAATTCTATTGAGGGACTAAAGTGTGTCTGAGGTCCATAAGCCAGTTCCAGTTGACAGCAGCACTGCTGCGCATCTTGTGAAATAACCGATTGCTTACAAGTGTTTGACTAAGACAGGTTGACCAGCAGGATGTTACAACAGCAGATATTTATCAGAGTCGTTTACACAACTCTAATGTGAAGTGAACTTGAGGCTGTTGGCCTGATATGTTGAGACATGCTGAAGTAGAGCAGTGAGGTGGCCTGAGCGGTGGGTTTTTTATGCACCTTTTGCTGGTAAAGTCCTCTTGAACATCCTGGTGAATCATGATATTTGTGGTGAAAGTGTGGTAATGTCAGATTTCCCCCTAGTTTGGAATGACTTCTGTTTAGTATGGTAGACAGCCAAGTGCTCATTTTCCCATCTATAATTAATTGACATGACAGAGGAAATTCCAATCCCAATTTCTGGACATCACCTGTCACACAGCCAAGTGCTCTGAAAGTTTGATGTAGGAGGAACAGGTTATCATAACTGAAGGAGAGAAAACCCACTTCAAATTAAAAGTTGCAGATTGTTCTGCAGGAGGTCATTGCTACTCTCTGTCAGTTGATCACATGAGCAAACACACGTTGATCCTCAACATGGCACGTAGCCTGTGGACTCCAGTGAGTAATGTTAGCTCTTATCGCCGTGGTGTGTCAGTGAGTATAAGGTTGGAAGGTGATTTCAGTGCAGGAACTCTGTTGTTACCAGTATCAGTTTTAGTACCTGTTATGGTTTAACGGCAGGCACGTGCTGTTGGATAAACTATTGCGGTGGTCAGATGTTTTCACTTTCGAAAAATAAAAGAAATTCCCCTTGTTGTTACAGTGTCATTTCGGAACCATGTAAGGATGTTTGCTAGATCCTTGTTTTGACTGAGTCTAATCATTGTGCTCACCTAGGTAGGGTGAATGTGACCTACAGTGGACTACACTATTACTATTATATTATTGCTATATGACAAATGAATGAACCATTGTTTGTACTGTGGTTTCTCTCTGTGTTTTTGAATCAGGACTAAAATGAATCATCTGTTGCTGTTACTGCGCTGTTGAATGCCAAACGATGGCTTGACTTTGTTTTGCACGTGTCTCATTCTATATTTTTACACAGCGCTCATCTTGCAGTTCATGTTCATGATGCCATTGTTTGTGCAGCTTTACTTGTTTTGCCATGCTGATACATTACTGTCATGTTGTTGTCAAATTTAGGGCATTCTGTGCCCTCACTCCTGTTGTTTCTAACCTGGGTCTTGTTCTGCGGGGTGTGTGTGTGTGTGTGTGTGTGTGTGTGTGTGTGTGTGTGTGTTGTGGACCCCATGTGTGTGTGTGTGTGTGTGTGTGTGTGTGTGTGTGTGTGTGTGTCTATCTGCTGGATGCTTGTGTAGCCGGGCCAAGAGGAGAGAGAGGAGAGATTGGTACGCCAGCCTGACTTCATTCTCCCCTCGCCACCTATCAGCTCTGAGCTTTTCCTCGCTTCCTTATTCTCCACCCATCCCCGACTCAGCCAATCCCTGCACACGGCCTGTGGCAGGAGAACCAATCATAATGCTTTAATATAGACTCAATATGTGACCAACAGCTGATCAACCTTCTTACATACAAAACCAAAACAGCATTCCCGATACAAGCACGAGCCCAAGCATCAGCTCCATAGATTCACGATGCTGATCATTTCTTTTGTTCCTTTGTAACCAACTGTGTTGTGGAACTGAAAACGAAACTACAAAAGCAATAAAGTGGAGATTCTACAGTTCACTTTCAGATAATTGTACTGTGAACAGCAGGCTTCGAGATGCATTCTCTGGACTAATTGATTATAATGAGGAGGAGCAAGAAAGAGTTGTTTAGATAGTATTAAATACATGTTAAGATAAAGGGTAATCCCATCAACCTTCACTACACAAAGTGGTTTATCTCACTTATCATTTCTGCCTGCCAAGAACAACACTATAACATTCCCTTTGTTCCTGGGCCCAGACAGTCTGTTATTCTAACTACTACATGGCTCTGATGTATAATGTATCATAACTGTTATAAGTGTGTTTTTAATCAGCTACAACCTCTCCTATTTGTTGGAATAGTAAACGAGCTAAATAGCCGGCTGAGGTGCTGCCAACACTAAAGCCAATCAGCGGGCAAAACATACACATCCAACTCTCAGCAGAGAGAACGCTCTCTGTCGAACGCTCCCTTGAAGCAATGGTTCTCAGAGTGGGGTCGGGGAACCCCCGGGGGTCCTTGAAAATTTTTCACTATAAATCCATCCATAATTAAGACAATCATAGAATGTATTGTTATTTTTTTTCATGGGTTTCAAACACTTTCTGTAGTAAAACATCCAAAAGTAAATATCAATGAATTATCAGATGGAGGTAAGTATGTTTTGGCTCCTCTTCAGGTACAGAGATATCATTAGAGGTTTTATAGAGGGATTGTAAGAAATGTTCATGTTTCTCAAGATAAAAAAAAAAAACTGTATTGAGAGTCAGTGGGAGAACGTGGACAAGAAAGACGAGCACACTGATTATACTTACACAAGAATTAGTCACCTTGCCATTGGTCCATCAAAACAAAGCCTGTAGCCGTCCAGCTCAGAGAAGTGTTAAAGATTCTACATCAGAGCCATGTGGTCATTAATTAAAATGATGGAAACCTCCGGGCCTGTCAGAACTGAGTTTTCTCTCCACCTATGTAAATAACATGAATCCACACGACTGCTCATTATTATCAAATCTGAAACACTGAAGTGAACACACTGGATGATCAGATGTTGACTCACAGTATTGAACCGCTAACAGCTCGCCTGGTCGCTGACGCTATCGCTGCTGTAGAGAGCATGAGAAAATAACGCTGCACCTCTCCCTCCCAGCTAGCCCAGTCCTCACACAGACAAACAGACTGGGCAACCGTGAACCACTGAAACGAATCGCTTCTCCAGTCAGACGGGGTTTGTGACCCTCTGGCAAAGATTAAAATGAAACTACTGTTGTTGTTTTGATTTTCTCCAATCCCCATAAAACGAGGATCACATTATCAGTGATGATCACAGTGTCAGTATCATGTCCCTGAGCTTTGCTGTGTTCACTAGTCATGTTGTCTTGTCTCAGAAGACTCCCCAGCTTTACTCAACGATTGTAATTGTACTGTATAGATTTGTCTTAATCATCTCTGTTTGCACTCTCGGATACAGTTGTTATCCAGACCGCACACAAGTCAATATTTATTGGCTTTGTCTTTTGTCTGGAGCGCAGTAGATTTCCAGTTATACATCAGTTCAGATCAGACTCCAATGTGATCCAATGTGAGATCTTGAGTTGTATCCATGTATTGAGTAGTATGCAAAGCAATTTTTTTTTTTCTTTTTTTTTCTTTTTTTTTTTTTAGAAAAATACTACCATTTTATTTAAAAGTTATCCCAGGACATGTTTCATGGCTCTAAATGAATCCTCCATACAGAGTGACCCTGACCAATCCCCTTCCCACTCGTGCTTGCATTAGACTGCAGTGGAAAATCACCTGCGCATGACACCTGCTTTGTCACTGGGGTTCCAGTTTCCCATAAAGGCTCTTTGATGTGGTGGTGCTGCTGTTGTTTTTGCAATAAGGTTGTTGGCATGGAGTGGAATGGCTTGTGCCTTAATTGTCGTGTACCTGCTAAGCTTCTGGGATTCTCCATCTCTCTGTCGCTGAGTAACGCTGCTCTGACGCACAACTGTGATTAAACCGAGCTGTCAAACCCTGGTTTTTCTGAGAAACGCCATTCGTTCTCACCCGCCTGTTTTTTAATCTTTCTTTTCTCTCCTTCTCTCTCTCTTAATCTATAGAGGACCATAACTTTAGGTGCTGGCGACCGGCAGGTGATCCAGACTCCCATCAATGACTCGCTTCCTGTCAGCGGCAGCAGTGTGGCCCAGCTCTTCAGACAGCTTGGTATGAACAATAAGAATGTGGGATTAATACGTCCGTCCCATTTCTAAACAGGGTTTTCAGGTGTCCAGTGACAAATGTGACGACTGTCCGTTAGTCATTTTATAGCAAAAGATTTTTAACAAGAACAGATATCTTACTTTGAAATAAGAAAGAGGTCTTCACGCCAAATCTGTTGCTCATGTTTTTAAACCTATGCATCAATCAATCAAACTTTATTTCTATGGCACTTTTCAGACATGTTAGCACAGTTCAAAGTGCTTCACAATGACTGATGAGCTAAAAAGAAAAAGGACCAATAAGGAAGCTGACAATTAGATACAATAAATAGATTTAAAAAGAGATTTAAAATAGATTTAAAAGGGCTTAAAAAGCTATAATAACATTAACAAACGAAAAAAATGATATAGATATAGATATAGATACAATAATATAGATACAATAAAATAAGTGAATAAAATAAGTGAATAAAACGAAGTGAGTAAAGTTTGCCCTGTCAAGCAGATTCCTTAATATTTCCTAAATTGTTTCTGTGCAATTTTTTTAGGTCATTAAACTGAGTGGCCACTTTACAGGCTGCTGGTTCTTCTGCAGATGTAATCCAACCCACAACAACAGTTTTGGCATAAATTTAACCTGTAGGAAGCTTTTCATGCTCAGCTTTTGTTGCCACTGTTCTAAAAGTTATAATTTAACTGTATCTTTGTTACTGAGCGAGTGGAGGCGTTACTCTGTCCGCCACGTTCACAAACATAATTGGAAACAGCTTTCAGTGTGATACAGGATCACCTCTAGCTAAAGTCTCAATAATAAACATGTTGGATTATCTCTCTAAGTGTGGTAAAGGTAGAATTAGACAGAAGTGGACTGCATTAGATTATACAGGTGTACTTAATGAAGGACCCAGTTGGAAAACTAACTTGAGCTTTGTATGAGGATGTGAAGGAACGAGTTCCACCTCCTGGACTGCCAGTGATGTCCTGTCTGTGCTCTCTCCTCCCTCAGGTATCATCAACGTGTTGTATCTGTTCTGCGCGGCGCTGACGGAACATAAGATCCTGTTCTTGTCCAGCAGCTACCAGAGACTGACGGACGCCTGCCGTGGACTGCTGGCCATCATGTTCCCCCTCAAATACAGGTGAGTTTCCACCATCTCTCAGTGGTGTCTCACTCTCTAGGTGTCATTGTTTATTTTCACAACATATTTCATCTGATGACTCGTGGAAATAAAGGGTGAAACAGCATGGGCAACAGTTGATATGTGAAGTCTCTCTCCGTTTGTGTCTCTCTCAGCTTCACCTACGTTCCCATCCTACCGGGAAAACTACTAGAGGTCCTGAGCACCCCCACTCCCTTCATCATTGGTGTCAATTCATTCTTCCGCTCCGAGACACAAGAACTGGTGGGTCCTCATCACTACGGTATGATAGACAAATGTGACAACGACATCATCGGGATAAGACAAGATAAAGTCTACTGGGAAAACTGCATCACTGTGGCAACACAGAACCAGTACAGATAAATTATTCATGCTGAGACAGGGAGTCTCTGTCTCTCACGACCCGGAATTTGCATTAAACATGTATTACACATACTCATCTGTAACTGCTCATTTATTAGGCAGTTATTCTCATCGAGCGCTTAATTAGGAACATCAGGGAAAGAGAAAATGAAACCAGCCTGAAGCAGCAGAAAAACATTGGCAGCCAGTTCGACGACTAAAAGCCGTCTCCACACAACACATGTATCAACAACAAACAAACAGGCAGTATCCTTAAAAAACCCAGCATGCACCGTGTGGAGGATGGACTAGTTGAAACATCTGCTGCCAGTTTACATCTGCAGGAAAGAAATGTGGTGCTTGTTATTCTTTATTTAAGTTTTAAGAACATGAAGTGAAGAACATTGTTCCACAGTTGAATGAACCTTTTCTCTCTGTTATATACTTATACATACATCAACCCCTCAGCTGCTCTGAAATGGATCGGAGTTGTGATTACAGTGAGGAGTATGTTTCATGTAAACTCTTACTGACCCATTAAGCAACGGTTCATCTGTCTTTTATTAAACCTGCCCCTGCTGCCATCTGGTACCATCTGATACCTGTCTTTTTTATAACAGTGTTCTATATAAACCTTGCCAAGGTAAATTACACTGATATAAATGACAATGAGTAGTGTCTAGATCTCTTGATCAAAGAAAATAATTTGCTGCTATCTTATTAAAGCCTGATGAGTTGTGTAATGAAGACTCTGACCGTGCGCTGCTGCATGCCGCTCACTGCGCCGCTCTGATGGAGCCATTGTTTCTCACAACAACGAGATGCTGTGTTTTGTACAGTAGTCACACACCCATCATCAATGTAGGAGCAGTTGTCGGGGTCGAGGGGTCGGAGGTTATCGTGTGGGCAGCCCTTCCTGCTGTCTGCGGGGAGACATGAATGTGTGTTTTGTTGTTTGAGCTTAATGTAATGAGCAGCTGTCGACGGAGATGACTGTCCTCTGCCTGTGTGTGTTTGTCTTTCTCTTGCATTATCAGCTTGTGTGTCATGCTGATGTGTTATTATGTACAGTCTCAGAAGCAGAGATGAAATGTGTGTGGTGTGTGTGTGTGTGTGTGTGTGTGTGTTTTGTGCTTAGTTGGATGTGATCATCGCTGACCTGGACGGCGGCACGGTGACAATCCCCGAGTGTGTGCACATCTCCCTGCTGCCTGAACCGCTCCTTCAGCAGACACAGACCGCGCTCTCCATGGTAAGAACATTGAACACGCCCACAACACACACACACACACACACTACTACTGAGCACTGGGAAATCTCATCAACATCCAGTGGGTGTTTTCTACCAAAAAATAAACTCCCCAGTGGTGGTGAATGGGTTGAGATGCCAGGAGGATTTTTTTTTTTTGCCTATTCAGAACATTTTTCTGTGGGAAAATCATTTGTTTTTATCATTTCTGTAAATATTTCATTTATTTTGCGAGTGGAATGGAAAGTTTGTGTTTTTTTGTGTGTATTTATTTTAAATGCTTACATGGCAAATGGTTGATAGACTGCACTTGTATACTTATATATACTATCCTCTTATCAGCAACTTAAAGCGCTTTTAAATGGTAGCCATTCACCCATTCACACACACATTCATACCAAGGTTATTATCATTAACTAAAACTAACAAATTAACAAAAACTAGATGTGAAATAACATTTTAGTTAACTGAAATAAAAAAACAAAAACAATAAATAATTGTAATTGTTTACTGTATTTTGTATTTACCAAGCTAAGTAAAATAAACAAAAATTATAGAGAGAATGTGTTTAGTTTTTGTATTTTAGGTGGATATGAAATCTGTCTTCCAGTTTTTTAAGCTGTGTCAGATGCAGCAGTATCTTACAGCTGATTGGCTCTCAGTGTACGACCAGTACATGTGCACATTAAGTGTCCAAAACATTCACTGTATTAATGAAGTCAAGTATTTGATTGTTAATTAACTGCAATAACGAGCCACAGAGCTGCAGTACCTACGACTAGTGCTGGACTGTCCAATTTGTTGATGCCTTTATTTTGAGTTGGTTCATTTAAATGAATCTTGCCCCTGACAAAATACCTCATATTACAAAAAACACTAATACTTAAAATAATTAAAATTTTCAAAAAATAAAAACTAAACTCAATGAACAAACCCGATTTAAAAAAAGAATTAAAACTATACTGAAGTTGAAAAAGTCAAAATGAAATAAAAACATGAAAAAACCCAAATTATTATAACCTTGGTTCACACAGCACTTTTTCCTACACGTTGGACTTTTCTACCGTACACACACACATTCTCACACTGATGATACATCAGGGGTAATTTGGGGGTTCTGTATCCCACCCAAGCACAATTTGAAAAGTTGACTGGAGGAGTTGGGAATCGAACCACCAGACCTGCTGATTACTACTGCGTGACCCGCCGTACCTCCTGAGCCACAGCTGCCACCACCTACTGTGATGTATTCTGCCAGCTCAGCCGTGGCCATATCGGCTTCACACTTCATAGTAAAGAATGTCCTATCAAGTGTTGTCCCTGCGCTGCACTGCTCCGTTGTTTTCCTATCAAGCACTTGAAAGGATGCCAGCTCATATCAAGCACTTGACTGCGTCCTGCAGCTTCAGCCCCTTCCAGTATCGCAGAGCCAGCCCATTCTCAGAAATACTTTTTTATCTTTTTAAGTGTGTAAACAAATGATTTCCCAGCTTGCTTATTACTCCATTGATCTATGTGTGAATTTGCTTTCCTGCTTCCCTTTGGTGGAGCTGTTTACTGTGTATATGTTTCAGTACAATTATGGGATGGGACACTTTTAAACAGTGGGTTCTTTTTGTTACTCATTTTATTGAATATCTTGTATATGTAGATAACAACAGAGCTGTTGCAGGAAATTGTCCCCAGTTTATGATAAGATGTCCAGTCAAATAATTCACTGGAGGGACTATAAAATATTATGATTACAGTCACATTCAAAACAATATGATTAATAATTGTTTAGTCACACAATAGTGGGCTTGTCGGCAGTCTGGTCAGAGTTTATTGATGTCTCAGATACACCCTGACATCTGCTCAATGGTGGGAGCTGACTCTCTTATTTATTCACTGCTCTGCCAGCTCACGTGCTGCATGAGAAACTAGTAGTGATGACACTGTTTGTAAATGACTTCAAGTGTTTTTACAGCTATAGATATCATCTATAAAAAATATTTTCACCCTTGTTAAGTTTTATTCTTTTACTGCTTTGAAAGATTGGATGTGATCAAGATGTTTCCATCCTGATTAACTGTAAATTTCAAAACTCTTTTCTCCGAGCCTAAACAGAAAGGTGGAGCCACACGGATCAGAAACAGTATCAAAGCTTCTGATATCGCATAGTTTATATTATATCGCAAGTTTTTTCAAAATGTATTCAGTATAAAGGCCATTAATCCCTCTCTGTATGAAACTGGTTGTTTCTGGTTGGTTGCTCGGGGTCAGTTGTGGGAAAATCCTTTTAATGCCTGTTACGATGCCTAAGTTAGTCATGCCCTCCTGGATAGTCTGCTCTGTTCGTGATTGCAGTCACGTAGTAAAACACCATGATTCATTTTATTTGGTTTTTGTTTGTGTGTAAAATGACAGATGAGTGTCGTGTCTGAAGCTTGGTACAAACCAGAGGACAGTTTTCCCTCTGCTGGTAACGCAGGGCTGGAGTCTCTGCAGCTGTGATGTCTCTGAGGCAGAGGTTAGCATGTGTTTATTTGGGCATGGCATGGAGTTGGCGTTCACTTCTCTGTCTCAGCTCAGAGATGCCCAGTGTGTTTGGATGATGCCTGGATTTTCAAACTGGATGTGCTCTTCCCACGAACTCTTGCAGTATTTATAATATTTGATCCTGAGATCTTTTCTAATCTTACATGCATTGTCCTGATTTTCTTACTTCAACAGTCTAGATACAGTCATGTCTACAGCAGCCAAACGATTATACAGTATATTACATTTAAACTGCACAGCAGGACTGCAGAATTCATCTTTCCATAATAATAATTAATTAGTCTTTAGTGAGTGCAATGCAGTTAGAAAGGAGGTTAACATAAGATGCTGTGGAGGCTGCCAGAGAGAAGGACAGAGCATCACTGGCAGGATATTCAATTAAAATTCAAAGAGGTCCAGTTAGACAAAGTTTCATCAAGCAAAGGTCCAGTGAAATGATGAAAATTACTATTATAAAATAATAGTAATACTTTCTGTGTGTAATGATAACTATTTGTTCTTGTAGCATTTCAAGGAAGATAAGAGCTGTAATAAGGACTGAGTAATAACAGGGGTTTTGAAAAATTATGATAAAGTGCTTAATTTTACAAAATGAAATAAAAAGTGTAGCTTGTTAACCAACAGTCTCATCTCACATCTCAGCTGCTGAGCAGCTTTATCACGTCCTTGTCTCTGTCTCTCCCTCTTCTATCCCACTGATTTCTTCGACTTCGTCCCTCCTCTCTGTGTGTGTATCTCACTCACTGACTCAAGTCACAGTGATTGGCTGAGTAGCATCACGTGACCGTTAACATTAGAAAAGCTGCGCTGGTTAAAATAGAAACGCTCCATCAAAATTTAATGATTCCCAATAATTTATAGGTTACACGTCCAGGTGTGGATAGGACGGTGTCTTGGTCCAGATCTGGACCGTGGCCTGTCAGTGACCTCTGTTTTAGGGACATTTCCACATGTTTGAATAAGCTTTTAGTTGTTCTCATGTTCTCAGCTTTTCTCTTAATCCATAAACCAACTTTCTTTCACGACTGAAAAATACATCAGCGTTGCTTGGTCGTGTGGTTGGGGAAGAATTTGTGCAGTAAAAGTGAACTTTTTGAAGTTCCTCTTTTAAAAGGATCATGAACCTGTTGACAATTCCCGGTTCATCCACTTTAATATGAACATTGCTGTGCATGACACCATGTCTGACCATCCTCAGGGTTAAATGACTTCTCCTCTCATCCCATCCACCTGCAACCCGCTTCTCTACCCTATTCATCACTCCTCTTCCTCTGTCCCTCTGTCTGCCTTATCTTCCAAAACATAGGCACGAGATCTAGCCACAATACTTTCTGCACAACCTCTTGATTCGCTTCTTTTATTTCTGCATTCAATTATATCCTTTTAATTGTTTTATTATCTCATGTTTTTATCTATGCTGAAGACAGTTAAACATGTTTTCCAAGTATATAGACCATAGATGACTGTGAGTTAATTATGTTCCCTGGATTTTATAATTGCATCATGTCAGAGAGGGATGACAGTAATTAGACCGTATTATTCAGTTCCAAGCTAAATTAAATCACTCCTCATTTTGCTGCTGAGTGATCTTCCAGACATAGTTTTAGAGCTGCTGTCCCATTAAAAATGTAACATTAAAATGTGTTGATTTCTACAATCCTGACAGCAGCTTTTGTGTTTGTACAAGCAGATGTGCGTCACAGTGTCCTCGAGCAAGACACTGAACTGTGACTTATTTACTGGGGCATCTGCTAAATGCCTAAGAGGACAAGGCTAAAAAAAACAAACAGGTCTAATAAAAGAATTTATTGGGAAATCTAAGGATCATCCTCCCTTGTGTTTTGTGTTTGGGACTTTTTCTGTCTCTGGCTGCTCTGTGTGCTTTATGACTTCTAACCTGGAGACTCTTGTGTGTTGTAATCATTGCTCTGTGTTGATGGAATTAAAGCTGGAAATGAGTCACAGAAGTTCACTGGGTTATGGGTCTATGTCCTCGGTCAACACAGATTTATAAACGAGACACAAGAAGAGATAATTGCAGACATTAGAAGAAGTGATCAGGCGGTTTGTGTAGGGAAAGGAAGGAGCTGGTTTGAGTGAGAGCTGTGGGAACGAAGATGCTGTAGATTGTCGGGCAGTAACCATGAACCAGGGCTTAGCTGCTCTGCTCTCCTTACAGTCAGCTGAATGGATATTCATGTAATGGCCCTGAGACCAAAACCTGTTTCTAAGGGTTGAGCGATTATTAGACCTGGATGTGTTGCAGCTGCAACTGTTTCTGTCTGAATGATTTTGTTTTCCTTAAAGCCAGAAAAAGCTCAATCTGTCAATGAGAAAACTGACTCCATTAACTACAATTCCACTCAACAGAGACAAGCAACAGTAGAAGGGTTGGGAGATGTAGTCTGCAGTGTTTGATGGTGGTTTCCTGTTGTTGTAGGTTTTGGATCCAGAGCTGGAAGTTGCTGATCATGCCTTCCCCCCAATGTCCACGCAACCGTCTTCACCTAAGATCCAGGTAAGAGAAATGGGAATTTCTTCAGGTTTGGTGCAAACATTCATGTGCAGTCAAGACGTCACAAAACATGCACAATTTAACACAAATGTGTAATAGGATAAAATGATGAAGTGATGACATTTTATATCCAAACGGTCCGCGGTGGTGTGTGTGTGTGTGTGTGTGTGGGTGTGTGTGTGTGTGTGTGTGTGGGTGTGTGTGTGTGTGTGTGTGTGGGTGTGTGTGTGTGTGTGTGTGTGGGTGTGTGTGTGTGTGTGTGTGTGGGTGTGTGTGTGTGTGTGTGTGTGTGTGTGTTGGCTTTAAAGCTCCTGTGTCTCATTTGAAGTGTTGATCCATAAGAAGATATATTTGTGGTTTTAAGAACCAAAAACCATCTCAGTGTAATTTAACATCTCCTCTCTCAGGCTTCTCTCTGGAGCTCTAGTAACAACAGGTCGGTGAGCCAATCAGAAGAGAAGAGGCTCTGAGCCTCTCTTCTGATTGGCTGACTGTTTTCTGAGTGATCTAATAAAATATAGCAGATTTAAGGTAAAAACTTAGAGAAACCAAATCCTGCAGGGTTGGATGGTGGGTCCAGGTGAGCGGGGCTTCTTTGTTGTGACATCACAAAGCTCCAGAAGTCTTGACAGCTGGTTTTATGGCTCAGTGTCTGAATACAGGCTGTGTGCATTTCTCTGTGGACTGAAGCTTTGATACTTTCACAGTATATGGACCTCTAACTCGACTGTCGTGTTTGTTTTTGTTTCAGGATAAGGAGATTCGAGGAGTCTTTCTGTGGCTGTTCGCTCGGCTCTTTCAGGGCTATCGCTGGTGTTTACACATCATTCGCATTCACCCCGAACCAGTGATCCGCTTCCACAAGGTACAGGAAGAAAACCCAACTGTGAATGATGCTGCATCTAATACTGCAGACAAATCAGATGTGTATTTTTTCATAAAACAATATTCAGATCAGATCACACACACAAACACACATAAGAATTGAGTGGGGTCAGATCAGATTAGTGCTAATGTGTGTTTCCACAGGCCGCCTTCCTGGGTCAGAGGGCGCTGTCGGAGGACGACTTCCTCATGAAGGTGTTGGACGGCATGGCGTTTGCAGGTTTCGTGTCAGAGAGGGGGCCTCCCTACAGAGCCACTGACCTGTTTGATGACGTGAGTCTGTCGGCACAATATGCAACACATACGCTGCTTTGACTGTTATATCTGCCAACTGTCATTCCTAACAGGCAGAACAACTTAGAACTAGTGATTGGCTACCTATCCCGCTGCCCAGTGTCTCATAGTTGTGACAGATCATTTGTGAACCATGAATAAACTTTACTAACATTAGCATTAATCTGAAAATAAATCTTTTATTAAACATTTGTAAAGCCAAGTTTTTACATATCTTAAAACTTACATTGTTTATATCCATGTTTTCCAGCAAGCAGCTCATGTTACCTTTGCAGCACATTGTTGCCACCGAATGTTGATCAGCAAAAGAGTGTAAAACCATCAGCATGAGTCTTTATCACGTCATCTGTGCGCATGTATGTTTGTGTACATGCGCACAAGATGCCATCAAAATATGGGCCTGCTTAATCTTATCCACTTTCTACAGCAGGTGCCTGAGCACTATTTTTTCTATCTCAGTTTGTAAAAGGTTTGAGAAAGATTTTCTCCGTCACTGTTGATCTGGTGGCAGCTGAACGTAACTGACTCAGATATGAAGAAAGATGCTGATATTCTGAGGTGACTTTACCTCTGTGTGCTGTGTTCACAGCTGGTAGCCAATGAGGTGGAGCGGATACGACAAGAGGAGACCTGTCCACAGAAAGTCATGAACCATGTGAAGGAGCTGGCCGAGCAGCTCTTCAAAAACGTATGCTGACACAAGTTTCTCCCTCTTTAACTTTCTGTCTCTGACTTATCCCTCTCTCTCTCTCATAACTTCGTCGACTTTCTTTCTCGTCATTCTTTACGTCAGTTTGTCCCTCCTCTCTTCTCTACATTTAACGGTGATTCTCTTGTGTTTTCCCTCCTTCCAGGAGAATCCGTACCCCGCGGTGGCGATGCACAAGGTCCAGCGACCGTCTGAAAAAAGCCAGACCACTACACAGAATCAGACGCCCTTCCCTGTGCTGGACGACGTCGCGGTGCAGCTCTTCATCGACCACGCCGCCGCCAAGCTCAAGACCGCGCCTCCCGTCGTCAAGGCGGAGCTCAAGAGCATGGTGCCATCCGGGCCCCCACTGGGTGAGCTGTGGGGAGGAGACTGAGGGGGATGACACTGTGTTTTTAGTGCTGTTCTTAGCATGTGAAAAAGTCTTTTAAGAAAACTCACTGGGAAGAGACGAGACTGAGTAAAATTATGAGGACTGCGGTTGTAAAGGAGGGTGTTGGTGTTGGTAAGACACAAAGTAGCAAACACTAACTCTAGAGTTTAGCTGTAAGGTGGGTGCGGGTGTCGGGTTTGATAACTGCTTGGTAAAACTGTTACACCAAGTTGATCTTCTTTCCTTTCACCTCAAACTTCCTGTGTGAACTTTTGACTCAGACAATCCGTCTCACAGTGTGAGTTTAATGGGGTTGAGCTCGGTGCTGCAGTGATGAATGAGTGTCTGATTACCTTCCTCTGCTCATCACCGCAGGAGACTTCGTGGACAGAAACGGCAACGTGATGGCGAATAGCGCTCGCAGGCTGGAGGTGGTCAGGAACTGCATCACGTACATCTTTGAGAATAAGATGCTGGAGGCAAAGAAGGTGAGTGTGATGCACCTCTGCAGGGCAAGAGGAGTTTCATACAGTTCGATGAATTCTGTCAAGAAATGCTGCCTGAACAGAGGATCTGCTCTCTTGTAGCTCTGGCCTTTTGAATGTCTTGTCCCCTGAATACTCACTGTATGTTTCGCTGTTTGTTTAATTCTCTGATTTTTGAAGTGGCTGTGTACGTGATTGTTTTTCCGTCTCTTCTGTCCAGTTGATGCCAGCTGTACTGCGGGCGCTGAAGGGTCGGGCAGCCAGGGTTTGTTTGACCCAGGAGCTCAATCAGCACGTCCTACAGAACCGAGCTGTGCTGGATGACCAGCAGTTCGACTACATCGTCCGCATGATGAACTGCACCTTACAGGTAAACCCTGAAAACGCTACAGCACCTCTGGCTGGTAGAGTGAAAGCACACACTGAGCTGCACCTCATTACACTTTCACGGGAGATTGAATCACGGAGCGAGGCATATTCTGTGTCCTAATTCCACACTACATATGAACTGGATACACTGTACTACATACTAACATTACAGCATGTTGGTTTTGCTCTTAGTGTGCAAGAAATCAACTTTATTATTTTCACATATCAAACTGCAACTTCAAAATACTAGTGCCAGTTGAGCTACTCAAAGTAGATGGATCAAAGTCCAAATAAAGATGAAATTACATTATAAAATTACGTTTTTTTTCTTCTTCATCATACAAATGTGCTCTGTAAACTACAAATCCTAAATCTGTATCATAGAGGGACAAACTTAGATTTAATGTCCTCTGTGCTTACACTAGTGAGCATGTCATATTTTATTTCTCTACATAGACAGACACTTTCTATGCATGTTTGTTGCATGAAGTGCTAATGGTTAATGTTTTATCACTGCAATGCCATGACGACTGAGCTCAGTCAGACACAGGCTAAGGAGCATTTTTGATGCTTCTGAATTTAATTGTTTCTTCCTTTTTAATAATAAAAAAAATACATTTTTGAAAATGGCTTCTGTAATTTCAGCTGACCTTCAATTATGTTGAAGGAGAAATAATAAAGACGTGTTTTTAGATCTTATTTAAAGATTCCTGATGTGAGAATATTTATGGTTTAAGGACGCTTCGTGCAGAAGTCTGCAAACAGAATTTTAAGCACATACAATGCAATGAATAGTTCATATATTCAATATTAGATGCATTTTTGTTGTATGGTTTGCAAGTTTCCATATCATTAGAAGTGCTTCAGGTCTGATGTGACGTGTTTCTATCTGTTTCTGTTCAGGACTGTTCACATATGGATGAACACGGCATTGCAGCCGCCCTGCTTCCACTGGTCACGGCCTTCTGCAGAGTAAGTTCATATCCAGCATCAGCAAAGTCATTTCATGTTCCACAAATAATTCAGCTTTACCAGCTAAGAGCCTCACAAAGCCAGCACCTATCTTCATACTGTACATCACACTTCACTGAGTGAGAGGAGGTTTGAGTGAGAACCGTCTGAGGCTGGTGCGATGTCCTTCATGCCGTCTGTCACTGGGCTCTTCCATTTTGTCTCTTCAATGAAAATCTTTCCTCGTCTTTGGCAGAAATTGGGCGCAGGCATCACTCAGTTTGCCTACAGCTGCGTACAGGAGCACATGGTGTGGACCAACATGCAGTTCTGGGAGGCCATGTTCTACAGCGACGTCCAGAACCACATCAGGGCTCTGTACCTGGAGACAGAGGACGGGGATCAGCAGAAGAACCTGGTGAGCGCTTACGCTGTACTCAGCTGTCAGTTATGATACCGCAGTGAGCAAGGGAATGATGATCGGTCATTAACGACCCTCCTTCGATGCGTCCTCAGGAGCAGCAGGACGGGTCGGGGGGCGGACGGGAGGTCAGCGCCCTGGAGCTGGCGTCGGAGCAGAACAGACTGTGGCCGACGCTGAGCAAGGAAATGCAGACGGAGCGCGTGCAGAAGGAGGAGAGCACGGTGTTCAGTCAGGCCATCCACTACGCCAACAGGATGAGCTACCTGCTGCTGCCGCTGGACACCAGCAAGAACCGCCTGCTGAGGAGCTCGGGCATCGGAGACGTGGAGAGCGTGAGCAACAGCTACGTCACAAACAGGTACAAACAGCTGTCGGCCTTCGTACAGGGCTCACTATCCCACACAATATTGATTGTGATTTTCAAAAGTCGGTTGGTGAGAATTTAAAAGCATAAATGTTGAAAGCAGGTGTTTTTTTTTGTCTCGTAGTATTGCAGGCAGCATGGCGGAGAGCTACGACACAGAGAGCGGCTTCGAAGATGCCGAGAGCTCAGACGTGGCCAACTCCGTGGTGCGCTTCATTAACCGCTTCGTAGACAAAGTGTGTAACGAGAGCGGCGTGACCAACGAGCACCTTAAGGCTCTCCACACCATGATACCAGGTACAGAAGCACCAAGACACCGCAGAGAGCATCAACGCCAGACCTCACAGTGACATCTGTCATCTCTGTTCTACATCTCCATCCTTTCTTCTTCTTCCCTGCAGATATCGTTCAGATGCACATCGAGACGTTAGACGCAGTCCACAGGGAGAGTAAGAGGCTGCCTCCAATCCAAAAGGTAACCAATTCCTATTTTTACGTCCCACTGGACAAAGGCCATGCAGAGCCCCAGCCTGCCCCGCCCACTCCCCTCTCCACCAATCCCTACAGCTCAGGCTCACAGTATCACGGCAGGTACGTCTGTCCGGCAGAGACAGAACCGTGTGACTCACAGCACGCCTGAGCAGTGCATGCTGGGTGATTCCTGTCCCTTGTTGTGCTGTCCGGTCTCCGAGGCTCAGTGGAGCTGCAGACCTGAGTGCCTTCAGTCTGAAGGGTGCTGTGTGTGCAGTGTGTTCGAGAGGGGTGGTGGCGATACTGAGCATGACGTGACACGTTTTGTCATTTCACTAAAGACTTTGTGACTGAAACATCTGCTCAGCCTCCAGTAACGCAACTCACTGTGTCAGTGTCCTGTCAGCAAGTAAACATCCTGAGCATTTAAGGATCAGGCCCAAGTAGCGGAAATGTGCTCTATAATTTATGGCTATTGGGGTTCAGTGCCCACAGAGGAAACTCTCCCCTCTTTCTGCTGTGTGGCAGCAGCTGGAATGTGGACATATGTGGCATTAGGTGTTGTGCAACAGATTATGAAACAGGTTACCAAAATTGTAATTCATTTTCTATCAGAGGTGGAGTTCCTTAGGAAGCTTCCCGGGCCTCACTGGGGAACAGGAAGTGCTGTAAGGGGCCAGAGGACAAAGACAAAGCTTCATACTTCAGTCTGTTCATATTTAGAAAAGCTCAGCAGCACAGTGAGGCCTCTCTGTTTGAAAGTGAGAGTCCTTTAATCAAGACAGCCCTTTTATTTTTTAAGAAATATGAAATTGCAAAAAAAAACACCCACATGAATATTATTACAGAAACAACATTAATATATTTCTTCTTTGTATTATTGTCTTGTTTGTAACATCACCTTTGCTGATGTGGCTGATGTGCTTGTTCTGAAACAATAACACAATCATTTCAACATCTTCCTTTTTTTTTGTGTGTGTCTCCATCATGCAGCTCATTTAACCAGTAACTCAGCATGGTGGATTTTGATGATGAGTGGAGTTTTGATTGTTAAAGATTTCTGGTTGTTTGCTCTCAGATATCATCAGATGTCCTGCGGGATTGTATCTGTCAGTTTAACTCGATGGTTTTAGATGTGGATGTTAGATGAATAATAGTAACTAGATTGTCTGCAACATTCAGGATTCGTTTAGTGTATAATTAACATAACAGGGAATGTCGTGCAGTTTAGAGAAGGCTTGTGACCCCCTAATACAAAGCCATGTCTTGTTGTGACCCGTCATCACAGACTGCAAGAGTTGTCAGCAGATCAGGATGATTTTCTCTTTTCAGTTTCATTTGAATCATTTTGTTGTCTGTGTAGCAGAATTTAGTTTTTACCTACATTACAGATTTCCTACAGTAGTAAGACATTCACAACCCCTTGACAACCATTGTTTAGAGGATATTAAAGTCAGGGAAGTGGGAGAGAAGTGATCCTGATACATTTCTTAGCATGACTATATTTCCTAATTTTCACTCATTTTTCTGCTTCACAAATACAATTTAGCTTATTTTTCACCACTTATTCTGGAGACCAAAATGTGGAAATATTTAGATTAAGAATGAATCGCCAAAGTCTTTCATTTTTGAAAGTTTACAAAAACATGTCTCTGTTTTTAGGTCATTATCTCTCATACATGTAGGGAAACCTGAATCTGTGAAGTGGCAGTTTGTAACAGCAGGATGAGATTCACCTTCTCTAACCAAACCTTTCTGCATGAAATTAAAAGAAAGGAAGAAGCTCTTCAATCTTAAAATTCTGTCATAGAAACTAGTGAAATTCTAGGAATTCTCCCTTTTCACTTCCTGATAAATTTTATCTTCCCTCTCACTGCTGCACCATTAATGTTCCTCCTTGTCGTCCTCTCTTGTTTTTGTGTCCGCGCAGCCCAAGCTGCTGACGCCGACTCTGTTGCCGGGCGAGGAGCTGGTGATGGACGGCATGCGCGTCCACCTGATTCCCGACGGCCGCGAGGAGGCCACGGGGGTGATGGGAGGTCCGCCTCTGCTCCCCGCTGAGGGTGCCATCTTCCTCACCACCTACCGACTCATCTTCAAGGGCACGCCTACGGACCCACTGGGTGAGACATGACACAAACACACACACACACACACGCACATGTTATGTTGGTAGGCATGGGTGAGATCTGAGAGTCCTCTAAACCCAGCTCTTTGTCTTCCTCCTGCAGTGGGGGAGCAGGTGGTCACTCGCTCGTTCCCTATAGCCTCTCTCACCAAGGAGAAGAGGATCTCAGTCAGTTTACCCATGGACCAGTTTGTCCAGGAGGGGCTGCAGCTACGATCCTGCACCTTCCAGGTACTCTCACGCTCTCAACTCCATCATAAATAACACGTCCCTCTCACTGTTCTCTCCTCTGACTTCACCGTTTCTTTGTCCGACTTGCAGCTGATGAAGATTGCGTTTGATGAGGAGGTTGCGTCAGACCTGGCCGAGGTTTTCAGGAAGCACATGCACAAGCTGCGTTATCCCCAGCATGTCCAGGGCACGTTTGCCTTCACTGTGGGTCAGAGTGGGAAGATGGTGGTGGAGCACAAGACCAAGGACAAGAACCAGTCGCTCAAGTAAGGAATCTGTGTAGAACCAATGAATTTGTCAGGGCACGAAATGTTTTGATGCAGGAGAAACGAAAGACGTGAGAACACCAAGAAACCATCCATCAGCAGCAGAAGAACTGTTACTATCAAGCAAATGACAGGCTGTTAAATCACTCCTAACCTTTGACTCCATCACATCCTGCAGGTTGAGCACAGAGCGCTCATTCACTCCCAGCAGGGTGACACAGATGACACTTCACAAGCTGTTCGCAGGCTTCAGCTGTTAAGCTCATATTTGCCGTACTTACCAAAGTCACTAATGTGTACCTCATGCTCAGGACTATTACCCCATGTTTCACGATGCCAAAGGTCAGATGAAGTTACAGTGGATTGTGCGACCCAGGAGGTAAAGCCAAGGGCCCGTTCACATCCAGAATGTGCGGAGCTGTTTCAGACATGACGTAGCAGATATCATCAGTCATGAGGCTCAGCTGAACTGGTGCAGTAATTAAGTGAACAAACAGCCATAAAATGAGTAGAAAATGTAAATCTTTATGTTTAAGGAGACAACAGCCCACAGTTACTCATTTGCAAAGTACAGACCATGAAGTGGGACCGGCGGGGTCGCACAGTTTGAGATTGGGCAGGGTGCTAGCTCAAACACCAGCTACGTTTATAGTAGAATAAGAAGAGAAATCAGGTTGTCAGTTAAACGGTGCCTTGATGAATTTTCTTCCAAACAAACAAAACCTTCTGTTTACATTCAGTGTTAGTCAGTGTGAGTGCTTGAGGTCTAATGTGTATTTCCCCTCATCGTGCATTGTTTACATCCACGTTGCCAACCAGCAGGCTTCTTCTTCTTCACTGCCTTCGTTGGCTCATTGCTTCACCAAATAAGTCTTAACACAAGAACAACAAAACGGGGACCTACTCATAAAAACAGTGTTCTGTAAGCAGGACTAGTGGCCAGACACCACACAGGGCTCCTTTAAGGCTCATTACCTGCCAAAACACATTGTATTTTAATGTGTTTTCGTCCCCTCAGAAGAGCAGAGCTGGTACAGTGACTCACCAGTTACTGCATCTAACAAATTAATGCATAACACCACCAAAACCTGCAACAAGTCGTTTTTGTACAGATTAAACAAATGACATAACGTGTTAAAAGCTAGCTGGACAGAGCAGAAGCAGGTCTGGATCAGGAGTAGCGTTTGTTCCAAAGCTTTTCGTTTTATACAATTCAGGTGCGTGGCCGTGTTGTCACCTCTGTCACGGCTCAGTGCGTCAGGCTTTGAGTGTGAAAACAGAGAGAGTGAGTGGAAAATTGAATTCCATCGGCCTAACCTGCAACTCGTCACATTTCCTGTTGAGACGTTTTATCTTTTCAGTATCAACTTCTAGAATCACTGTGCTGTGACTGCTGATGGAGAATTGGTCGGAGCTCTCACAGCAACATCATGGAAGGATTCATGAATATGATGCGTTAAGAAAACATCGTCCTCTGCTCTTCCCTTTTTGTTTTTAAACCATCATTTGAGCGAAAGTGAAATCTTTTAGTCGCGTTATTTAGCGTCTAATTTTAAAAAGTAAATTTATGTCCTGTTAGATCCAGAATGTGACTTCAAGTTTTTATTTCCTGTCGTACCTGTGACGTGTTTGTGTTGTTGGTTAGAGTCTCACAAGTTTTAGTTTCCTGTCCCTGTCCTTTTTAATTCAAAGTCTCCTCTTTATTCAAAGTCTTAGCAACCAACTTTGAGTCCCCTCCTGACCACACACACACACACACACACACACACACACACACACACTTTTCCCTGCTTTCTCTTCTGGAGAATGAAAGGAGCATGGGAGAAGCCTTTGAATAATTCATAAGTGGAAAATGTGACAGCTGGTTTATTAGCCCTGTTGTTTCCATCCCTCACTGTGTGTGCGTGTGTTTGTGAGAGAGAGAGTGTGTGTGTGTTTGCTAAAAAACCTCCTTTCAGACATTAATTCTGACTCTGGCCCTGTGGCACGCCAAACCGGCAACACCCCATTGAATTCGATTATGCACTGAGACGAACACTGAGTCGAATCAGCTCATTGTGAGCTGGAGTTGGAGACTGCTGCAAATCTAAAAGCACGTTTGGGTGCTAAAAGACCCAACAGGAAGTGGACGTCAAGCGACTCTGAATGGGACGTGCAGTTGAATCAGCACTGTGATGTATTTAAAAATGTTCAACTCATCTTCCTCCTCCTCCTCCTCCCTCCTCCCTCCTCCCGCCTTGTCTCTTTCAGGACTCTTTCCAAGAACCTGGTGAAGAGTGCCAAACGGACCATAGGTCGGCAGTATGTGACCAGGAAGAAGTATTCTCCGCCCACCTGGGAGAACAGGAGCAGCTTGCAGTCAGAGCTGGATGAGGATGAAATCTCAGGTGATCACAGTGGAGGATTTAAAAGGACCAGCGGCCATTTTTCACATTGTTGTGTGTCGTTCAAGTCTTTCAACTTTGACACTTTAACTGACTGTTGTGTTCATAAAATGACGGTTCAGCTCTCTTCAGTTTTTACAGCTGACACTTCAACTGTCATCAGGGCTTTTACATATGAAATTTTAACTAGTTTTGCCACTTACATATCAAGTGACATTTCAGCTGCTCTCATCTTTTACTTTGAAATTTCATTTGCTTTCATCTCTCTCTCTTCAGATTAACATGTCAACTCATATTATTCAAATGACAGTTCCTCTCAGGGCTCACACTGCAACTGATGCTTTCAGTCTTATTCTTTTAACTGAGAGTTCATCAGCTGTTCATCAGTGATCACACTCCAAATGACATCTCACCACTTCATTCAATGCAAACACTTCAGACACTTTATTGACACTTTATTGACTTCAATCAGTGTTTACACTTGAGCTGACACACTGACACTTGAGCTTCTCTCAGCACTCCCATTTCACCTGCCATTTCATCAGTATCATTATCAGTATTTGGTTCTGACTGCCACTTTAATTTCAGCTGCTTCAGTGTGAGAACACATACATTGTCTTAAGGATATGTTTGGAAGGTCAGGGAACTTGAAGGAAATGTACACGATTATCTCTCTCCAGAAATGTAGCAAAAAGTAACTCCACCTTTAGACTCAGTAAGTGAAAATACCATTACCATATTAGTTGTGGAGAGGAAATTCCGTTTTTTAAAGGTCCCATGTGTCCATGTGTTGTTTGATTATAAAGCAGGTCTAGGTTCTATATTAATACTGTGAAAGTATCAAAGCCTCAGTCCACAGAGAAATGCACACAGCCTGTATTCAGAAACTGAGCCTTAAAACCAGTCGTCACGACTTCTGTAACTTTGTGATGTCACAACAAAGTAGTCACTGCGCTCAACCACGCCCTAAGCCCCGCCCACTTGGACCTATTATCCAACCTTGCAGGATTTGGTTTCTCTGAGTGTTTACCTGAAATCTGCTATATTTATATTGGATCACTCAGAAAAACAGTCAGCCAATCAGAAGAGAGGCTCAGAGCCTCCTCTCTTCTGATTGGCTCACTGACCTGTTGTTACTAGAACTCCAAAGAGAAGCCTGAGAGAGGAGATGTAAAACTACATTGTGGGTGGTTTTTGGTTCTTAAAACCACAAATATATCTTCTTATGGATCAACACTTCAAATAAAACACAGAAGAAGAGGAAAATGTGAGACTTGAAATGAGGACTGTGCTGTGATCTTTGCTGTATGTCTCCATAGTCTCAGAGGAGGTGGACCAGAGCTCCCTCACCCTCTCCTCCACCATCCGTTCATCTGACAGACAGACCATGAGTAACGTGGTGGAGCGAGCCTGTTGTCGCGACTACCAGCGTCTGGGTCTGGGCACGCTCAGTAACAGCCTGACACGCTCCAAGAACGAGCCCTTCAGGATTTCAACTGTTAACCGCATGTACACCGTCTGCAGGAGGTGAGAGACCACAGGGAGTCACAGATACATGGGGGAGGGAATGTATATGGATTGTATCTCTTCACTGCTGAATACTCTGTGTACGTGTGTGTCACAGCTACCCCGGCCTGCTGATAGTGCCTCAGAGCATCCCGGACACGACCATCCAGAGAATCTGCCGCTGCTACCGACAAAACCGCTTCCCTGTGGTTTGCTGGAGGAATTCAAGAACCAAGGCTGTCCTTCTGCGCTCTGCAGGCCTCCACGCTAAGGGTGTCGTGGGCTTCTTCAAGTCCCCCAACGCCCCCACTGCAGGTAAGAAACAAAAATCTATTTTAGGCCTCAAGCTGATGATTATTATAACTTTGAACCTTTATATGAGCAGAGGATGATGCTGCTACAGTATGTTCTGTTTTTGGGAATGTCCCGATCCATGTCCACTAAATTTGTCACAAGTTCTTTAACACAAGTAGCAGGAAGTACAGTTGTCATGACAACAATGTGATCCTGTGAAGAGATAAGAGCTCAGGGAGTGAACAAGAGCCACAATCTTTTGCAGCGAATACGCCACAAAAATTTACCTGTGACAAAAAGCATTACGGTTACCTGAAACATAAAGGTTCATTCACGTGTTTCCTCTCTCTGCAGTGCCCTCCCAGGCAGACTCCACCAGTCTGGAGCAGGAGAAATACCTGCAGGCCATCATCAGCTCCATGCCTACATACAGTGAGAGCAGCGGCAGGAACACACTCAGTGGCTTCACCTCCACACATATGAGCACCTCCGGTGGGTGGAGTAACACACTGTTCACTTGGTCCGTCACGCCAGAATCCCTGCCCCGAGGGTGCTCCGTCAGTGACATCATAAAACGTGAAACTTTCTTGTGTTCACAGACTCGTCAGATAAGCTGAGGCAGCCCAAGATCGGCGCTCTGATGAAACAGGTGATGGGCACCAAGGAGGATGTTCCTGGAACCTTCAGCAGAGGAGGTGAGAGACTTCAGTGTGGCCACATGCCGCTCCTGTAGCTTCCCTGTCAGCATCACATAGTTCCTCACAGTCCTGCTTTCAAAACAACACGTGAGAATTGTGTTTGAAGTCTGGAATTTGTTTCTGAAACTGGGACTGGACCAGGAGGATGAAATAGTCATCCATCCCCTGTAGCTCATGTTTAAGATCTGCGTGTGTATGAGTGTGTGTGTGTATGTGTGTGTGCGTGCGTGTGTGTGTGCAGATGTGTGCGTGATTGTGTGTATGAGTGTGTGAGTGTGTACAGGTGTGTGTGTGTGTGTTTGTGTGTGTGTGTGTAACCATCTTCCATTGTGTGGCGTTGTTGGTTAACGGGTCATCTCTGTCATTTGACCTCAGCTCTGGGTCAAAGGGCGAAAGTCATCTCCCTCTCTCAGCCCAAAGTGTCTGGCAAGGCCAGGAACCCTCCTAGAGGTACAGTAGGCCCCGCCCCTCCCCCACTCCTTTCCCTCCACTCCTGTCTAACCAATCAGATCTCTTTAACAGTAGCATCAGTGTGTTTGGCGTCGTCCCTGGTAGTGTGCTGTCTCTGCAGACTAATGGTCTGTTGTTCTGCTGTGTGTGCATGCTGCTGCTGCAGCTCTGATGTCTGACGTCTGTTTCCTGTTTGATTCTTTTCTCTGTTGAATGTCAACAACAGTCAGAGTTTCATCATCATGTAGCTGTCACTCAGCTCCATGTAGCAGCCTGGACTGAGTAGTTCAATCATTTCTGCCTGTGTTTACCAGCATGGCTGTTACTAGCTGTGGACGTTCAACACATCCGTGTGTTTTAAAGGATAATTCCAGTTTATTAAGTTGGAAGGATTCTTTAATGGCTGATTAACCTGGAGAAGACTTCCACATGAGGTTTGATTCAGTCATGTCATGACTGAAAAAATAGCAACTTTTTCTCCGTGTGTATGTGTGTGTATTGCAGGTAAATGGGGCAGTATCCGAGGCAGCGGGCGTCTAAGTGCCTACAACCCAGACGTGGGGACGCGTCTGGCTGGAAAAGAGTCTCCGCAGCCCAACGGAGGGCCAAGTGAGGCGCTGTTCCTACGCCAGCAGAAGGCCTACCTCTACATCATCGGAGACAAGGCCCAGCTCAAGGTGATCAAGGATACATAATACACTGCCAGCCGAAAAGGACACACACAGTGTCACCACATGCAGTTACAGAGCAAACACACACACACACAAACAGACACAGGAGAGAGAGAGTGAGCTGCTAGCTGCCGTGAAAATTGGTAAAACGGATCCATCACGTCTCATCCCCAGGTTGGTGCTCATGTGAAAGTGTCGGAGCCTCTGTGTGAGACGCTTCAATCTGTGATTGTGTGTTTTTAAAACTTGCTTTGCGGCTGCAGCTCACTCTCAGAGGACAGTGTAGCTGCTGTGTTTGTGATTTAACAGCACCGTGCTGGACAGGTGACAGGTGTGTTTACAGTGTCTGTGCTCTGAAAGACGTCACAGCAGAAAAAGGAGTGACAATTAGCGCGTTCACCCGGGTGTTGTGTTTACATCACTGCAGATCGGAGCTGGAGCTGATAAATACCTGTGTCTACTGCAGAGTCATTTGACCTGGGTGTGAATGCCGATTAAACCCTTTTCCATAGAGTCAAAAGCCTGATGTTAGCGGATCTTAGTGGGTTTTTTGACCAGTGGAAAAGCGGCTTCATAAAACCTCACATGTAAAGGGCATAAGAATTGAACAGGATTAGGATCAGGATTAATTAATCATTAACTGACTGGTGAAATGACTCTGACTCTGTTGTGCTCAGGGAGGGAAGCAGGACTCGTTCCAGCAGTGGGAGGTGGTTCCCATCGAGGTGTGTGACGTGCGGCAGGTGAAGAACAGCTTTAAGAAGCTGATGAAGGCCTGCGTGCCGAGCTCCCTGACCTCCGACCCCAACATGACTTTCCTTCGATGCCTGGAGGAGTCGGAGTGGATGGCTCTGGTCAGTGCTCACCGGTTTACTGTCGCAGCTCATTTAGTAATACTGGTGGGCTGTTTGTTCTGACTGTTTCTGTGTGTGTGTGTGCGTGTGTGTCCAGCTGCACAGGGTGCTGCAGGTATCTGTCCTGGTGGTGGAACTTCTGAACACAGGCTCGTCGGTCATGGTCAGCCTGGAGGACGGCTGGGACGTCACCACGCAGGTTTGACTGACACCCAGACACTGGACTGCTGCGACCTGTTCTCTGCGTGAGGCCGAGTGTGACGTGCTCTCTGTGTGCAGGTGGTGTCCCTGGTGCAGCTGCTGTCTGATCCCTACTACAGAACCTTCGACGGCTTCCGGCTGCTGGTGGAGAAGGAGTGGCTGTCGTTCGGCCACAGGTTCAGCCACCGCGGAGCTCAGACGCTGGGCAGCCAGAACAGCGGCTTCACCCCCGTCTTCCTGCAGTTCCTGGACTGCGTGCACCAGGTCCAAAAAGATCCCGTTACTTTAACCTGCAGTGTTGTGATACTGGGATTCTTACAGGGAGATCAGAGGGCAACATCTCAAATATCTTTCGTGCTTTAGTGCTACAATGCAAATGATACATTTCTGAACATCTAAGGCCACGACCACACTACTACGTTTTCATTTTAGAACACGGTTTTAAAACTTAAACAATCTCTGTCCAACCTGAAAACACATATCTCATGACCATTCACCTACACTGGACATGAGCAAGTATAAACAGGAAGTAGATTGTCTACTCTGCAGTTGATTAGTTGCACAAAATACTATGAATGAGGAACAGCAGAGACAGTTGTAGCGTTAAAATGCAGAATTTAACTGAACAACAGCTGCTAGCAAAAACAACAAGGTCAGTAACACTTGTAATTCATTATCATGTTTTCACCACTGGTAGTCGAGGCTGATGAGAACCAGTCAGGGAGCGACTGTGGGCGTCCACGTCATCATTTCATTGTTTCAAAGGTCTCAGTTTCTGTCCATCCAGACGACAACACAACCCCAGAGTTTTCAAACTAAAACGCTGCAGCAGCGTTTCCCAAAGTCTCTGGGCTTGAAAACTCCTAAGAATAAATAACAGCAGGTTTATTTAAATTAAGGAATTCTTGTAAATATCAGATGCTCTTTAATTTGCCAGTGTGTGCGCAAGAAGTTTGTGCTCCACAAGATTTCTGAAAAGTGACCAACACACTTCAAACAAAATGTAACAGGAATTCAGTTCTTCTTCCTCTTACCATATATGCTTAAAATGCTCAGTCAGTGTTAGCCTATAAGTCTGACTGTACTTCCTGTTTCGCTAATCAGTGATGTCGTCACACGCAGGATGTATGGTTTCATTTCACTTTAGTGCCCCGGGTTCTGTCTGTGACACTTCTGTCAGTCTTCTGTCAGACGCATCAGACGACAGTGATGCGGTTGCTTCCTCAGCCTCTTCCAGTCAAACAAATGTAAATGAATGAACACTAGAGGAAGAGAATGAGGATGCATCTAACAGAGCTGAAGATAAATGTCAATCACGTGTAGCTGAAGGCACAGAGAGTGAAGTCAGATCAGATCTAAATCTCTTTATTAGACATCAGGTTGAATAAACTATAAAACTATAAATAAACTATGTCTGAGTCTGTGTGGTCTGTCTGTCCCACAGGTTTTAGCGTTTTCATACCAGAAACATAAAAGTGTCGGTGCTGTAGTCCTGACCTGTGTGTCTGCCCCTCCACCCTCAGATCCACCTCCAGTTCCCCATGGAGTTTGAGTTCAGTCAGTACTACCTGAAGTTCTTGGCGTACCACTACGTGTCCAACCGCTTCCGCACCTTCCTGCTCGACTCCGACTACGAGCGCATCGAGCTGGGTAAGAACGTGACAGTTACACCAAGTCGTAGTCATAGTTACAGTTCCTGTTGTTCTGACGAGCTGTGTGTGTGTGTGTGTGTGTGTGTGTGTGTGTGTATGTAGGAGTGCTTTATGAGGAGAAAGGAGAGAGGAAAAGCCCTCAGGTGTGTAAGTCTGTGTGGGACTACATCGACAGACTCAACAAGAAAACACCTGTCTTCTACAACTACATGTTCTCTCCTGAGGATGACGAGGTGAGCCGCCTGCACAGACGCCCAACAGGATCCTGGGATATGTGAAACTTTATCTGTTCAGTCAGGGCAGCGAACTGAGAAACTTTCCGACATGAAATAAGAGACACAGGCTACAGTAGCTGGACAAAGACGAAACTGAATTCGGCATTAAAGCAGTTTGTGTGTTCCAGGTGCTGCGGCCGTACACCTTCATCTCCAACCTGAAGGTGTGGGACTTCTACATGGAGGAGACTCTGTCCGAGGGGGCGTCCTACGACTGGGAGACGAGGGGACGGCAGGAGCGCGTGGCAGAGGAGATGGCGGAGAAACCCGACACCAGCGGGCCCAAGTCGCAGCGGCGCATCGTGTGGCCGTGTTACGACAGCCTGAGCAAGGTGGTTCCCGACGCCATCACCAAGCTGCTGCAGGACCTGCAGAGTCTGGAGGCCGAGCTCGGCCAAACGTCAGAGAAGTGGAAGGATACGTGGGATAAAATCAAGACCGCGCAGAGGACGGAGACCAAACTGGAGAGCAAGGTGAGACGGTGGTTTAATGTTCCTCAGCTGAAAAATCTTTTTTTTTTCTAGAACTACACAGAATTAAAGGAAACTTTCAGTTGAAGTGATGCATTCAGGTGCAATCTGTTGGGACATTTCCCTTATTCCAAACTGAAACTTATCTGATCAGAAGGTAGATTGTAAATGTAACAAAATAGTGCTTCACTGAAGTCTTGATTCTGGAGCATTGACCACCACAAACGGACTGTCAGCTACAGAGAAACACTGTCCTGTATGGTCACAGTTTCCCAGTTGAATTTACCAGTAAAGCCATCAGCTGGGTTTCGAGCTGTAGTCACACTCGTCATGATAATGTGGTTTTGGCGGCTGTGGCTCAGGAGGCAGAGTGGGTCGTCCACTGGTCAGAAGGTCTGTGGTTCAATCCCCAGTTCCTTTCCTTCTGTCCACGTGTCGTGTGTTTGGGCAAGATACTGAACCCTGTGCCTCTGACGGCTGTTCCATCAGTGTGTGAATGTGTGAGTGAATGGGTGAATGTGGCAGCTGTTGTAAAGCACTTTGAGTGGTTGAGAAAGTTTTTTGAAAAGAAGCATCCGTATCAAACGGCTGTGACTTTTTAAGTATCACAGAGCAGAAGCTTCAAGTTTTTACAGAATCAGTTCAGTGACGACTAATGACAGTAGACATGTTTACATTGATACACAGAGAGGAGATCTGCCTGTTGAGGCTGATTATTTGTGCCTCAGACCCCAGCAACTTACACTTTTAAGACTTTAGACTGGCAGTGAATCTGTGACAGGTTGTCGAGTCACATGAAAAGATGTAGATACTGACATCTAATGGTGATACAGTAGAATGCAGCTTAAAAGACACCACACCGGTTTTTATTCACAAATCAGGAAGGTTTTCAGCTCTAGTGACTCTTTCTTAAAGCAAACTGAAGGTAGCCACTGTTTTGTTTTTAATTTTCTTCATTTTTATTAGAGTAAGTAAAGAGTAAGTAAAGTAGAAGTTGTGCATGTGAGTGTGTTGACGTGTAACATGTTACACTGGACAATGTCTGTTTTTGCCGTCGATGTTGAGGTTTAGCGGCATGGTGATGCAGGTAAAAGATCGCAGTGTGTTTTAAAGGTGAGACTGATTCTACCAGCTGCAGATACGTCTGTGTCTGTGGAGCAGATTCCCTCGTGTGTTTTTTTTTTAAAAGACTCTCTGTGGTGACGTTTGGGAAAACTCACTGATCGTCCTCTTGGTCTTCGGCCCGTCTCTCCTTCCTCCGCAGCCGTCGTTCTCCAGCTCCCTGCTGATGTCGTCCAACCTGAGCCACCAGCGGCGTTCTCAGGGCGTCTACCTGCAGGAGAGCGGCGTGGGATCCTCCATCAACCTGGCGCTGGACTGCGAGGCCAGCGCCACCTCCACGCCTGTAGCCGGTCGGCCGAGCACCAGCACCCTCTACAGCCAGTTCCAGAGCACCGAGAGCGAGAACAGGTGCGTACCCGCCTCCACTGATGGTTCCTGGGAGGAGTTGTAGTGTTTTTAAACAACCCACCCTGCTGAAATGTCTTTGTTTTTACCTTTTCCCTTCAGGAGTTTTGAAGGCATCCTGTTCAAGAAAGGGGCATTGTTGAAACCATGGAAACCTCGGTGGTTTGTGCTGGACAAGACCAAACATCAGGTAAGAGGAGGTGAAAATGAACTTTAGCGACCTCGAAGCTGAATTGAGTTTTTATGAATGAGAAGTTTGTGGGTGAACCCTCTGTGGTGTGACTGCTTCGTCTCTAACGATGTGTCCCTGTCCCCAGCTGAGATACTACGAGAGCAGGCAGGATAAGGAGTGTAAAGGCGTGATCGAGCTGGCTGACGTGGAGTCCGTCACTCCGGGAACTCCCGCCATGGGAGCGCCGAAAAACATCGAGGAGAAAGCCTTCTTTGATGTGAGTCACTCTGAGCCGCGCTCTGTCACTGTGTTCACATCATGTCAGCAGAGGGAGAGTGACTTCACACAGTGATCTCCATGAGTACACTTTAAGTCACAACAGATGAATGGGAGTGAAGCTAAATTAGCTCTTTCATTGTGTTTGTAGCGACTCATTAACAAGCAGAACCTGATACAAACGGTATATTTTCATTTTGCTGCTGCTCCTGGTTGACCACGAGGTGTTTCCAGATACAAAATCTCTCCAGCGTGTTCTGGGTTTCCAGTGAACAAGACCCTCAGATACTTACTGTCAACTCCTTCACCTGGGGCAGCAGCTCACTCCCGGCTCAGGAGGAGCAAAACACCGTTTTCCAGTAGAGAACCACGGCTGTTTCACATTCTCATGCAGGCCACACGCCTGCCATACTTTTACATATATATAACTGCATATAAGAGATGCTTGCAACACATACACTCACTCTGACCAGCTGATTGTCTCTGAAGTGCTACTTTTTTCTCAGGGTGACAATAGGACGCTCTGACAACATAGAAAGAACTGTGTGTGAGATTTATTCCTTTTAACAGAGAGTGCCCAAATTACAATAACAGGACACCTGGATACTAAATGTTTGTGTGTGTGTCAACATCAGTTCACACGAGGCCTAGATTTGACTGAAAGTTGCCATTTAGTTTGGCGGTTGTCTGTCAGTATGAGGCGTAAAGAGGTGACCGTGTAAGTGAAGAAGATAACGATGTTAAACGTGATGATGTCTGTTCACAGTGTCTGTGTCAGTGTATGTGTGTGTGTGTGTGTGTGTGTGACCGTGGCTGACCCCTCTCTTCTCGTCTCTTCAGCTCAAGACGACCAAACGAGTGTATTACTTCTGTGCCCAGGACAGCCTGAACGCACAGCTGTGGATGGACAGTGTTCAGAGCTGCTTGTCAGATGCCTAGAGTGGAGGCTGGACTCTTTAAAGGAGCGATGCAACCAGGAACGACTGAGCGGCGCCTGATGGACATCTCTGCCAGCCAATCCCAGCGGAGTGGGGAGGGGAAGGGGCCTTTCACCACTTACAGCTCTGTTCTGTTCGCTAGTGTTGAACTAATAACCTGCGTCACGTTTCAGTGTTTTTGTTATAAAAAAAAAAAACGAAAAAGAAAAAAAAAAAAAAAACAAAGTTGTCCCTGAAGAACCACTCGCTGTCGTCTCACCACATAGCTACAGCCTCTCACCTCCCTGACAGTCTGACCACTATGTGCGCTGGATGTCTGTATGCACAGAAACAATGCATATTAAAGCACGTTGTTGCATTTCTTGTGAGGCGTCTTGCAGCTTGGACCAGCATGAAGATCTTTCCAGAACCCTCCACCTTTGAACCACGACCTGTTCTCCTTCCTACTAACCACGGTCGCCCTTTAAAACACTCCGGGGAGGAATGAGAGAGGAGCAGCCCGTAACCCCAGCAACACACACGACTCGAGAGACGGCTCCGGAGGAGAATCTAAAAGACTGACTGATGGGTTGACGGACCAAAAAAAAAACAACCCTGAGGAGCTAACAGTCCTCAGAGGTCTCTGCTCTCTTTGCCTCTCACTGCCTGATGTAGCCCGTTCGCAGTGTATTCAGAAGAAGTCTCAGAGAAGTGGACTGTGACGCTGCAACTGCATGAGGAGGGAGGGGGGACTCCTCAGCGGCTCATGAAGGATTTCCTTTTCTTTTTTTTTTTTCTTTTTTCTTTTTTTTTTTTTCTTTTCTAAAATCTCAAATTTATACCGGAAAGCGATCAATGCTCATCAACGATGATGGCGACAACGACGACGACGATGATGATGATGATGATGATGATGATGACGATATACTGTGAAAGCCATGAATCAGTCGTAGAGATCAAAGCAGGAGGAGCCAGTGGGAGATTAGAATCTGTCAGGTATTGAGTGTGTCGGTGAACTTTCACTGAGAGTGTTTACAAAGTAGATAAAACTTCCCTCACTAAGCTCAACTCGGCTCTGACCCCCCCCCCCCAACCCCCCCACCCCCCACTCCCGCACCCCCCACGTGTTTTTAATCAACCACTGTTAACATTCAGATTTTTAAGGGATGCTGAAGGAGAAAGGACGGATTTATTTTGTTGTGATGATCTGGAAGGAAGGAAGGGAATTAAAGAGGAACAGAATGATATTATGGGATGCTTCAGAGAGACTAGTTTTTAAAGATGGACACTGTGTCGTTCTGACAGGATGTTTGTTAAAGGAAAATTGCAGCATTTTTCAACCCGAGTCTCTCTCATTATTGTGTCCATGTGACTCTGGGACATACTGAATTTACACTCTCCACCTCCGTTGTTGGAAGCGTAAACAACAAAGTGATACATATCAGTGAAAGCAGAGCGAGACAGCAGCAGCTTTCATATACATTTAGATTCAAATTAAACCCTTTCAATAATGACAGTAAACGCATAGATTAGCCTCCTGGATTAGCTTTTATGGCTAACTGCAAGCTTGGTAAACATGTATCAGCTGGTTTAATAAACTAGCTGTTTGATTAGCTAGCTGACTAGCATCTGCAAAGATCAACTCCTATTGCTTATCATTTCATGTGTAGCAAGATTCTACGTCATCAGAGGGAAATGGACGCAAGGCTTTGTATGTTTTCTTGACTTAGAAAACAAACCTGTAGTTTGCTACTTCTTCTCCAGCATGTACACACACTGAATCAGCAGCCATAGCCTACATGTAAACAAACAGACACATGTAAACAAACAGACACATGTAAACAAACAGACACATGTAAACAAACAGACACGTGTAAACAAACAGACACGTGTAAACCGGCAAACGAGCAGGCAGCTAGTTTGGTTTGCTGTGTGGTTGCACTAGAAGAAATCACTATGCAGTTAGCGACAATAGCTAATCCAGGCGGCTAATTTCAGTGTTTACTCTTGTTTGCTTCAGGAGGTTTGCCCTGGATACGTAATCACATATCACTGTCCCGGAAAAAACATGGTTCATGCATTTCTTCAAATGGAAGCAGCGGGTGCAACGTTAATATGAGCCACAGTTAAAATGAACAGTTATGAGAATAAGAGCTAAATTGAAAAATACCATAATTTCCTGTTAATGATGCTGGAACAGGTGAAGTCAGGTTCCATCACAGTCACGTGTCCTCAGTGTCCAGATACGAGTCTGAAGCTGTTCACACTGAACCTGTTTCAGAGTCGTGTCGACAGCAGTGTCTCACTTTAGCGCCTGTCACCTTCAGTGCTGAAACCTGTACATAGACCAGTTTATATCTGTTAGAGTTGTAGAGAAACAGTACGTTTAGCTGGAAGGTTTCAAACATCGTTTTTTGTTTTGTTTTTTTTTTATGGTTTGTCAGTATGCCCCCACCGCCCCCCCCCCACATACACACACACACACACACACACACACACACACACCTCCCAACCTCCACCCCACCTCTATTCACCCTCCTCCTCCAGAAACAGAAACCACTCAAGACCCACACTTGTTAACACAACCCCTGCTATGTAAAATATGGTTCTACTGCTGTCTTGTTGAACATAAAATTTGAAATTGTAGATTTTTTTTGTCTAATAACTCCTTTGTATATACTACTCCAGATTTGTATGTAACGTTTATGGTAGTAATTTATTTAACTTGTCTCCTCCGTAAGAAAGTTCCACCACTTTATTTTTAAATTAGGAATTCAATGTGCCATTTGTTTATTTCTGTATTAATGTGACTAATGGGATTTGTTTTGTTTTTTTTCTTTTTGTTTTTGAAGAAAATGTACAAGTAAAGAGACATTGTATTTTTTTTTCTTTTTTTTCTTTTTTTTCTTTGTAAACACGGTTGTCCTTACTCAACACCAACCGTTAATGCAAGAGTGGAAATGGTGTGTTAGTGGAAGAGTAAAAGCCTCTGGGGTGGTTTTTAAAGGCTGGTTGGATTTTACTGTGTTGGTTTCTGGACGTAGATTACAGTCAAATAAATCTGAACGGTCAAATGTCTTACTGGTGCTGGGTTCTGCTGACTGGCCTGCTGTTAGCTTAACAGACTCCTTTTGGGCTAATTAGTCCGTGACGAGATGGGACACTGTAATAAGTAAGGCTGCCTAAATGAAGTGTTTAACAGGTGAAGTCAAAAGTAGTTCAATATTTGGTTGTTAACACTTTATAAATCATAAATAAACAATTACAAACAAGTTAAAACACTGTTTTCATACAGTGATGCAGGCTCACTATTTGGCAAGATCGAGTTAATGCTTACTACTCAGTAATCTTACTAACGAGTTACTACCATTTATAACTGGTAAAAAGAGCCTTATAGTAAAATGTAAAACACATCATTTATTAATCACTTACAATAAGACTCCTTTTACTAGTAGTATGAGTAGTAAGCATTAACTTGATCTTGCCAAATAGTGAGCCTGCATCACTGTATGAAACTGTTATAACTTGAATTGTTTGTTTATGATTTACAAAGTGTTAACAGAATTAATAACCTCATTATAAACCATTTATAAATCCTTAATAAGGGTAGTCTTATTGTAAAGTGGTACCAAGATATTACTCAAAGATGCTAAAATTTTGGTAACATGAGTCAACATGGTTTTATAAAAAAAAAACAAAAAAACATTTAATACCAGGTAAACCAGTGATGTCACGGTGTACTGACACACCCAGGAGTACACTTCTACATCACTGTAGAAATGTCAAAATCAGAGCTGCAACTAATAATTACCTTATCAATTTATTAATTTGTTCAGTGTGTGAAATGTCAGAGTTCAAAGTGATGTCTTCAAATGTTCAAATTTAAGAAACGAGAACTGGAAAATTTGTAGCATTTTTTGCTTGAAAGGGATTGAAACGATTTTAATCAATTAGCAAAAGATCATCAAGGTTCTGGTTAAGTTGCTCTTTAAGTTCAGTGTAAATTAACAATATGCTGCTAAAACTAATTGATCCACATTTTAGCTGCTTGTTCTAATGCAAGAGCGGAAAGACATCATTTTGAGTGGTTATTGTTCCTAATCAATTGTATTGATGAGCATGACAACAATGTTAAAACAAGGTCTATAGTTGAAGTATCTGTGTGGCATCCTGTCGTGTATTAACTACTCAGCATCCATCATCAGTTTGCTGGAGACGTCCACAACATTATGATTCTAACTCGGTTTGACCTTGTGCACCTTAAAATAATCTTCCCCCCGAGCAGCAGATGGACCAAAGTGACAGCAGCCAGAACTCGCCTGAGTGAAGATGGTGTTTCCTTTGCGTTTTGACTGTAGTCCACATCCAGTCAGACCCAGCTCATCTTTTCACTCTAGTTTACTCATCTCTCTGTGGTAATTCTACAACAGTCAACGGCTAAATTAACCACAGCAATATGACATAATCCTTTTTATTTATTTGCTTTTTTTAAATTAGAAATGACATTCTGAGCCGGGTTATGTTGTCAATCATGTCAATATAGTTTTTAGAATCCAAATAAAAACTGTGGGTTTAAATGTTCATCTGTGACGTCTGTTTATTGTTGACTAATTTCATCAGGTTTCACACAACACAACACGTTTCTATTTTTCTATTTGTTCATAACATATCAGTTATAGTGGAGTGATATATATTGTGATGGTTCCTCCTGTCCCTGTGATGGAGCTACAGGGTTCACACACATGAATCAGCTGGTTTTAAAGGATCAAAGCACTGTTTGTGCCATAACTTAGAACTATAATGATAATCAACTATATAATAAAGCAATAGGCTTATCACACTAGAGGGAGTGATGTACTGAATAGCAGCACGGCTGTGATTCGAGCATGATATTGCTTTTATACAACAGTTCTACAAGTTCTACAAAACTCCTGCTGAGCAGGATGTGCAAAAGATCACAGTGTAGACAATATCTGTTCTGTGCAGGAATAATACTCCAAGGTGTTACTGTAATGTGGTTGTTGATGAGGCCAGACACAGAAGAAAAGGCAGGTGCTGGTCCCTCACTGGGGGTGACTGCACTGGAATTCTGATCATACAACTTCTTTATATTCAAACGTGTCAGGTCTGTTGTGTGTGTATAATAAATAGTAAGGATAGATATGAATATGCTAAAATAAATACAGTATTAGGTGGTGGATCCTGAACCCGCTGGTTCTGGATCAAACAGCCTCTTTGTCTTACTTGTAAAAAAAAAAAAAAAAAAAAAAAAAAAAAGTTACTGGCGCATCTATCTGTACAACAGCCGCAGGAACAGGCTGAATTCTGCTCAACCACTAAAACGTCTGTCGACATCATCAATCATACATTTATGCCTCTTGAAGTGTTTGTGGGTACGTTAGATGTTACTCACCAGTCTGAAAGAAAAATCTCATCTCTTTACTCGTTGTCTCCCGTGGTGGAAAAACACACCAGCATTCACCCGTGTTTTGCTTCTTTGCCATTGGTACACCTGTGGCCATGGAAGTGATTGGAACACCTGATTTCAATTATTTGGATGGGTGAGTGAATACTTTTGGCAATATAGTGTATCTCTGAAATACAATAGATGGAGGTCTTGGTCATGACATCATCACTGTGGCTCCTTCATATACTATTGATAGTGCCAGTTATTTTTTTGAACATTTTAAACTAAAATTCTGGCCAGATTTTACACATTGCACCTTTAAAACCAAAAAAAAAAACAAGAAGCAG